AGCTGTATCTGGCACTCGCTAGGAGGCTCTAAATATTGTTGTTGTTGCGACATTTGTAGGTAGTAGTAGTTTTGGTGGGGGCTTGGCAAAAGTGTCCGGCCAAGCCGTGTGTCCGGCCAAGCCGTGAGGTACGTTAGTCTTTTCTTAGCACTAAAAAGATGTTTCGGGAAGAGCTATGGCTTCTTCCAATTTTATATACGAACATTCTAGCTAGTCAATTGGTTAAGCACTACGCTAAGTGGCCCTGCCGCGCCGGGATAGAACGGACTCAAGAACCTTGTAGCTTGCATCTTAATCTCGATATTTGTCCGTGCATAGGAATTTGCGACGAACTAATAATGCGGTGGAGTACCATCGTTCCATCCCTGAATGCCATATTAAAGACGATGGTACTGCTTTAGTTCTGATACTATCAACCTTCATAATGTATACTTCACGCTCATTATTTTCAACTTTAGCAAGTTGTCTTTCGCTAGCAACGCTCGTTGCATCGTCTCCCACCACTAACCAGAATTTGCCAAGCTCGAAGCGCGATGCGACGGTTGAACAGAACGTGTTCTTCGACATCAATGGCAAAGAAGTAGAGACCAGAATTGCAAAACTGAAGGCCGAGGGTTACCGACCAACTTCCCTAAATATCCATGGCACGCCTACCGATGCAAAATACGCCGGCATCTGGATAAAGCAAGATGGCAATCCCTACGAGACAATTGTAGGTGCCAATAAAACCACCTATGATGCTTGGCTCGATCAGTGGAAAGCCAGTGGCTACGTTTCGACGCAAGTCTCTGCCACCGGGCCCGCCTCCAATGCTGTGTTTGCAGGTGTGATGGAGAAAATACCCTCGATTCGCAACTGGACTCAGATATGTGGCACGAGCAGCCCTTATGCGTACTTGAATGCGACAGGGGATGCCCCGATAGTGATTACAGGTGTGAGCTTGTACGGCACTCCAACCGAACGCCAATACTGTGTCCTCGGACACGAGGACACAGACAACCATCAACAGACTGTGTGGTTCCCGACTAGCTCTTCGCAGGATTACAAGACGATAGAACCCGCTGAGACTACCAAAAGATTCTGGAGACCGGTCTTCATCGACAGCTCGGAAGACAAGCTCCTTGCATCTATTTTTGATGATACGAGTGTTGGAAATTGGACCGTCCGTACCGACCTCACCGCATCGCAGTTGCAATCAGAGATTACCGCTCAAAAGGCGAATAACATGCATCCTATTCACATCTCCGGTGCAGGATCCACAGAGACACAATACGTTGTGATTTTTACCGAGCAAGCCACCCCGCTGGAACGCAATTGGCACGCTGTAGGCGATATCACTGGCTTCCCGGACAATGCTAGAGTGAAGAGAGATTTGGATGAAATACTTCAAAAGTTTATGAAGCGTAACAGTGTCCGACAAGCCCAAGTCTCCGCCTCAATCAACGGAACTGTCATCGCTTCGCGCGCCTACACATGGGCCGAGAGCAACCGCGCCATTGTCGAACCATCCGACAAGTTCCTTCTCGGAAGTGTTTCTAAAGCATTCACATACGCGGCAGTGGACCACCTCGTCTCCACTGGCGTGGTCAACCTTACAGATCACATCTACCCGCTCCTTGGCTATACTAAGCCCGCAGACCCTCGCTCGCTAAACATCACCATACAACACCTGCTCGACCATACGGGTGGATTCGACCGTGGAATGTCACCCGACATTGGCTTCATATTCACGACCGTCGCTCAGTCGCTCAACCAATCTACTCCCGCCACACTACGTCAACTCATCGAGTACGTCCTTGCCAAACCGCTCGACTTCGAACCCGGCACGAGAAGTGTGTACTCAAACTACGGAACCCTGCTCCTCGGCTACCTAATTGCCAACAAAACCGGCGAGACATACATGTCCTACCTTGAGAAAAACGTCCTTAAGGGTCTCGACGTGGAAATGTACACTACACCCGGGGCAGACCACACCAACGATCGCATTGTTCAGGAAACAAAGTTTACCAGCATTTCCGCTTTGACGCCACTGTCGGAAAAGAGAGTAGCCAATGTCTATGGCGGCGATGGCGCAGTCAAGGAAGCGGCGGTCTCTTCGTTTGCGCTAAAGGCTTCCGCGGATACGGTATCGCGGTTCATTGGCAAGCATGCGGCGTACGGACTCGGTCCCCGACAGCTATTTATGTACCGTGACGGTACGGTCGCGGGTGCGCGCGCATTGGCGTATAGTATGGCCAAACTGGATTGGGCGATAACGTTGAATACAAGGGAGTATCTGGATGAAAATGCATGGAATACGTTGGTGTTTACCGATTTGTATCAGCTTTGGGGTGCCCTCGATTCGGCGCTTCCCTTATAAGAGTGTTGAGCGGTCTTGCGTCTTTAATGTAATTCACCAGTGTGCTTTTGTGTACTATTGGTCTTCTTCGTTGTAAATTCCTTTAGACTATATATATTCACATCGCATAGAATCCACGTACTTTTTGACATTTTTCGTATCTTCGGTAAGACGATTCAATAACTTGGTAAGGTGCAGTATTAGCATGAGTCTGAATATCGCTATCGTTTCTCTATTGAGCCTTTACTACAAGAAAGGCGTGGTTCTCGACAAAAGGATATATTAGACTTCCAGCTTTAGGGCATTGGTGCAATTAAACTACCGCCTCGATATTGCAAGTATCATTCCTGCAACCTTCCTATATGTGTATCCCATGAGGAAGACTACTAGTGCGAAGAATCTCCCGTCAGCTCTTTTTCGAAAATTGAAACCTTACTCAAACCCAAACACTGAGAAGCCCGTGATGAAGAATGCTGAAATGGTAATCGACCACGCATTGCATTTTCATCGGATTATCCTATCATCTCTTCCCCCCGACTGTATGACTCTAAGGTCCTTCATTATCGGCCGCGAAGACTTGACCTGATCCTGATCTCAAGACGTTTTACTGACCCAACCTATATAAACGTATGCTTGGAGATGGTTCCAGAGAGCGATTGCTTGTTGAACCACCTTTGGTCGTAGATGTTGAGACCGCGGTAGCCGAGGGTGATTTATAATCTTGCATTTCAGAAATAGGGGGCAGTTTTGTATGAACTGATCCGAGCTGGGAATACGAAGAGAGGTCGAGCATAGAGGATGGGCCCTGATCCAATGGATGAGGTGAATAGTCTTTGGGCCAGGGAAGGGAGGTGCTATCGAATGAGTGCTTCCCGAGATGTGTTAATTCCCCATCCTGTACCAATGTAGACTGAGGGATTCTGCGGTCCCATTGTGAGGAGTCGAAGAAATCAACATCGTCAAAATTAAGCAATGGGGTATTTGAACGAGACAAAGTACGAGGATCATGACTTGAGCTGGGGTTCGCATTCTCGTCCAAGTCGACTGATTGATGAGGCTGTCTTTTTAGATAATAATCGGACGAGTCAGGCGACTGTTCTCTGAGAAGATGGGAAGGCTGAGACTTTTCAGAGCCGTCCTGCACCTGATCACATGCGGCTTCATTTGGAGCGTGGAAATCCTGTGAACCTCCTCGTATAATGGTGTCAAAATTAGCCCAATCATACTCAAGATCTTCTTTATAGAAGGAATGTTCTTCTCCGTCAATGTTGATATCGGGCAGGCTGAGCAGATCCCTGCCTAGAACTACTTCATCTTCTCCAGAGAGGTCCTGTGGCAACTCTTTCGATATGCTTGCATCTACTCCTTCCGTCATTCCATCAACGCTGCCCTTATAGTAGAGCACTCTGGCATGTTTTTGGAAGCGGTAAAAGATAGGATCAACGCCTTGATCTAAGAGTTGCTGTTTCTGAGCTTCAGGCCAACTCAGAACATCGTTTTTGAACTTCTGGTGAGTTTCTTTTGAGCAAGTTCGCATCAAGCTTATCGCCATGTTTTGGATTGCCTTCTTTCTTTCTTGCTGTCGCTGTTCAAGTTGTTGACGTCGTTGTTCGTTTTGTTGTTTATGTTGTTGTAGTAGTAGTTGTTGTTGTCGTTGAGATTCATAAAACCTCTGTTGAGTTTGTTGTAGGGTCAGCTGCTAGTGATATATATCAACGTCTTGAAAGTCTCGAATACTGTTGAATGGCGACCCGTCGTTATATTTACCTGGCTGAGATGAAAATCGCGGTTCCACGAATTGCTGTCGCTGCCGAGGTTCAGGAAACTGCCCCAAAAGTCTATTTTCTGAAAAAACCCGATCGAATAAAGTCGGAGTGAATGTCTCTTCGCTATTTATCGACTTCAACTTTGAATTGCGTACTTTCGTAGGTATGAGCTGGATACTGGGCTTACCATTATGTTTGCGCGTGTGCGCATTAAGTGCGGTTCTCTTTGCAAATCCGATACGGCTATACTGACAGGATGCCGTCTGGCAATACACGCGTTGAATATGGATAGCCTCATGTTCGTACCGGAGTTTTGTAGTAGGAAAGCCCAGGGAAAGCCTATCACAATGTGGAAAGCGGCAAAAAAAGGCGGTTGAAGCATATGACTCTTGGAATGCCCGGAGCAGGGCCGGCGAGATGCCTTCAACTTCATGTTGCGCCAAAAGATGCACGATTGCACTTTCGTATTTTTGAGAAAGCTGACTAAAGAGCGTTTGGTCGTTATTGATGAAGTACGTCTCGATGTCTGAGAATTGCATTGTGAGCTGATGGGCAGCTTCGTGATGGGGTACTGTACTGGGTCTGGACTTACATGAGCTGCTATCGCCATCTAGTTTACTGGCTAATAGTCTGGTATGTAGTATATCTGCCATCAATTGATAGATCTCCATGCCAGAAAAAAGCTGGAGTCGCTCATCCGGGTTGCTATCGTTGGTTTTGTCCCTCGCCTCAACCTGATTTACTGTACGCCCAAGTGCATGCCAGCAGTTCTGATGTGTCTCATGCATTTGTGTCAGAAGATCCTGAAATTGCTGTTCCATACCGAGTCTGCCTCTCCCCGATGCATATTGCGAACAATGTCCGATCCAAAACTCTATCGCGTACGGTAGAAGCCTGTAGTTACCACTCGCTACTTGAGCAAGGTGTTCAAGTGAGTTGCTTTCAAACCGCAAGAGATTGAGACCGCGGGTAATGATAATGGCGCAAGCAGATGAAATATCTACGGCGGCGCTGATTGCTAGGACAATATGCGGTGTTTGAGATCTAATGAAGTACCTTTTGAGCGTTAGACACTATGCATTCAACTCATCGAGAAACTCACTCTTTTACCGAAAAGTGAACTGGTACTATCGTCGAGTCCGGCAGTTCTTCTATGAACGGTTTGCAGTGATCAAGTATAGAAGCGACAGGGATACTCTGGACTTGAGAGCTGGAGTTGTATGGAAAAATCGACAGTGCGTGCAGTAGCTCTGACTTATGCAAAGGCCTCCAGGCAAAGCATATCCAGCTCATGACACCTGGCACGCCTCCGTAATTACGCGCACCTGGAGCGCCGCAGAGACGAATGAAAATTTGATCAAAGAGATTTTCGAGATCAGAGGGAAGATCATCAACGATTTTACGCAGCTCTTCGGGGCTGTAAACCGTATCAAGTGATTTCAGTACGGGGCTTACCCACAGGAACATACCTGTGCAAGTGTTAGAAGGTAAGACGTTAATTAGCAGACTAGGCAGGAATTACCATGCGACTTCTTACGTAGAGTTTCTTTGACATGAACTAGGATAGATGCATCGGGATCGAGCTCATCGAAATGATCAGGAAGATCAGAAAGCTTGCTGTCAACGAAATTGGCAATCGCGCGGGTAACCGCAAAGCTTTCGTTGGTGTTACTGAGAGAGATTTTTGTTACCATTTTTTCCTTTTTGCGCAAAGATCGTGAAATATCCATCGTCTCTCGGCTGACAATCATAATCTTGCAGCTGTGAGTAGAATGAGCAGGAGATACCAGTTCGACAAGATCTTTGAGAAGCTCTTTTTGATCTCGTGAAATCCATTCGTCAACACCATCTATAACAAGTCTCACAGAGCCCAACCCTTGGAGAAGTTCAGGGAGAAGATCCAGTAATGCCTTCTTTGTTGGCATTGGGTGGGAAGTGAAGTAGACGTCATGAACGTAGATTGCAAGATCCTGATGCTTCTGGATGACCTGCGAGATGATGGATCGCAGCAGCCGGCTTGGACTATCGGAATGGCTTCCAAAGAAAATACAAAAGTAGTAGAAAACGTGAACTGCATTTGCCTCTGCATGTTGCACAACACTAGAGCATATCATGAATTTTCCTTCAAATAGTTATACAAGTGATTAGCAGTGATGATCGTATGAACATACCTGCTCCCGGCTTCCCGCAAAGCCATAGTAGAGGATTCTTTGCGCTATCTCCCAGCCATAGTTGGGTTTCTTTGTGCTGTACAAACCACTCGCAGCTTCCCGGTAAGTAATCTCCCATATACCGTTCGAGTATGTCAGCTTGGAGTGTTTCATTTGTTCCAAACCAAGCTAGGACTTTCTGGATTTTGGCCTGGAGTTGGCGTGCTAAATCAGCCCGTGTCTCTCATACATCCATAGAGTTGGTGTATACTCACAGCGTTCCATTCACGCTCTTGCTGCTCCCACTTCTCGTCGTCAGCCTTGCTACGTCGAACAGCTTCAGAGATTTCCGCCGCAGCAGCTTCTTTCTCAACCAGTCCTCCATGGTATGCTAAGTTTTTCAATATCCCGTTGAATCGGGATTCAAACCCATCCCACATTGAGCTAAAGAAGATAGCCCATGCTGCAAGTCATTAACACAGCACAATGTGGAATAACCGGAAAACCTACATTTTCTTCGCACAAACTTGTAAGCTCGCCGATGAAATTCTACAATATCGGAGTAGACCAAAGCCAAGACATTCTGAAAGTTGTGGTCGTCGGCAAGCGCATGATTGAGTCGGTCAAGGCGAGGAAGCATGTCGGCGATCTTGCCGTATGCTTCTATCAACTTTTCGAAAGCACTAATGGAATCGACCGCGATCTGTTGATGTACAATAAGCAATATGAACTGAACGAAGACCTGAGACTCATCCTACAGTGAGCATGAGTTTAACTGGCGCCCAGATCCAGGCAAGATAAGGTGTGCCATTGCACAGCACCTCAACGACCTTGGAGTAATGCTCCATCCCTTGTAGGAATGGGTCAAGCCGAGCCATATTCTTCTGCATGCGACGAGCACGGAGCTGCCGCTCGATACGCATGACTTCTTCCTGAACATCTTTGAGCTGAGTGTTATGGAAAATTCGCCTGTCTTCTGGCGTAACAGTGGACGCAAACCGCTCGAAGGCATCTTGTAGCGTAACGGTGGCCTGGGCCGAAGGAGCCGCCATCGGGCCGTGCGAACAAGCCGTTGATGTGCGATGAAGCCCGGGATAGACTGCTTACTTCTTCAACACAAACAATATAAGGGTTCGAGGAGGAGTTGAGTAAAGGTGGCGAGCAGCACACTCGAAGCTGGCGGGGCATCTGTAGAGTAGCCTTGCAGGTCGCAGTCATGCTCAGCCCCGGTGGTTGTGTTAATGCATCTACGCAGCTACTACACTAGATACAGGCCAGCTCCCGCAGCTCTCAGACCTCTACCATGACGACTCGCAAGACATCGCTTTTTGCACTCGTAGTCGGCCGACAGCATGCTGTCTTGTCTTCCTGGTATCGTCGTCGATGATGTCGCTCCCCCGGCTGCGAAACGGCGGCGCCTAAATACCTACTAGGTAGGTACCCCTCATAGTTACAGGACGCATCGCAATTGAGCACCTCTGCAATGGATCCGAGTATGCACACTCAGCAAACACAACACCAGCACCATCCCCTATTTGCGCTGCTGTAGAGGAGGTATACGAAATCACCTTGATTTGCTATGGCATGGTTTGTCGCCTTCAACTTAGCTTCGTCGCTATCTTACATTTTGTCTAGATATCGGATTTGACAGTAAACGTTCCCCTGCACCACCTCACCTCCAATGTCTCGACCCAACACCCGATACACTTTGAACCTCCTCGCACACTTATGTGTGGAGTTGCCGATGCGCCCATCGGACGACTAGACGACTTTGCGGGCGAGTTGCTACTGAGGCTGGTTGACGACGACGACCTCATCCTACAATTTCTACTCTCGTCAACTCCAATCACTCCCGCAGCCGAGAGGAAGTCAGCCAAAAATGCTTCAAAATTTCTTAGAGTCATTATATATGGGCCAAGATGCCGCCTCAATGACGTTGGCGATTTTATGACCCAGGCTGGCTGCTACTTGGATGATCCTGTTGGTTGTGATCGCAATGTCCCATACATGAACCCTCAATGTATATTCAGCCTTCACGAACAACCACCAATGACGTTTGAGCTACTGCAGCCTCAGTAGCCACATATTCACGATTACTCAAGAGCTTCTCTTGATGTTTTATCTGGCTTCGAGACTACCAATGATCTCGAGTTATCAACTACCCTAGTAGCTCTGCGCACTGAATTGAAATCGTAAGTAATCCGCCTTGAGACGAGCGAGCATGTTCATAATGGAGTCACAGACATCAGAGACAAGCTTTGACTTTCTTCTTGAGGCGCGAACAAGGGTTGCATCCGAACGAGGATGGTTTCGGTATATGGTTGCGGAAATGGAGTGAAGGGAAGTCTATGTGTGTATTGCTGAGATATCCCTCCAAGTTTCAACGCTAAAACTTGACGTACAATAGTTTCGTGAACACCATGACAGATGAGGCACAATTTGCTCCAGGCCCTATGTGGCGCGGTGGATTGGTTGCTGATGAGATGGGTCTTGGGAAGACGCTAAGCATGATTGCTTTGGTTGCTGCGGACCAAGATAGCACTTTGAACGATAAGTCATTCACAGGCCACCCTATATACGGCGCTTCCATAAGCTCAACTCTTATAGTAGTGCCGCTGAGCTGTAAGTGAGTGTACATATTACGGCTTTTATATATGCTCAACCATTTTGCAGTGTTCAGTGTCTGGGAATCGCAGTTGAGAAGGTATGTTGTGACGACTACAAGAAGGATTGCGCTTGCTGATCATGTTACATAGTCATGTGCACGACGGCAGATTGACATGGTTCATGCACCATGGAAAACAGAGATTTAACTCGAAGAGCAAGGAAGTACTGCCCGGTACGATTCATTGATTCAGAAACTGCAAGCAATTCTGACGCCGACTCTTAACTGGTCAATTAGACATAGTTTTTACCACTTATCAGACAATTGAGAGAGAGCATCGTAATTGTGCTCAAGGTAGCAGCTCTTTGTTCTCTCACCATTGGAGACGCATTATCCTCGACGAAGGTAGATTCGAAAGAACGCCACAGCTTGCAGCCCAATACTAATTGGTGTTTTCTTTAGCGCACACTATACGCAACCACAATACCTCGACTGCGCAAGCAATAACCGTACTGCAGGCAACTTCTAGATGGGCAGTATCGGGAACCCCGATTCAGAATAGCCTGCTCGACTTCTATGGCCTGTTCAAATTTCTTCACTTCTCCCCATACGACGACCCAGGAGTTTTCGACGACGATGTCACGAACTTATGGCGCGTCAAGCCCGCCGAGGAAGCCGCTGAGGCTTTTAAAAAGTTACTCTCGTGCATCATGATACGCCAAACAAAAGCTATCTTGGATCTACCCATCAGAGATGACAAACTGATCCGTGTGCCGTTTAGTCATGAGGAAGAGAAATATTACCACCAAATCAAGCAACCCGTCATTAATATACTAGATCGTGCCACAGAAAGTGGCTGCCAAACCAACGTACCCTGGATGACTGCTATACAACAAATCAACAAACTTCGTCTTGTTTGCAACCTGGGAATTTCTACTCCGTCACAATCTCGTCACTTGCCACAATCGGGCAGTATCGATGAGAGAACGGCTTTGATGAACGCGCGATATTCCATGGGTGGAGAACTATGCGCACAGTGCTTACAGCCAGTTGAAGCACCCGCGTCTGGGGATGGACTCCGGGATGCTACACGACCACAGGTTTATCTTTCAGCTTGCAGCATATTTTACTGCGCTGATTGCTCTGCACTACTCCGATACCAATCACCTGATCCATGCGAGTATATAAAGCAACTGCAACCCTGTCAAATTCGTCCATTGGCATCCTTCTTGCCTACCCCTAGACTTACACCAGTTGGCGATCTTTCTCCCTCATCAATGGAGTGGGACCACAGCAACGATATTTCAAGTAAAGTATGGACACTTGTATCGCAGATTAAGTCTTGTCCAAACGAAAAACAGTAAGCCGATCAGGAGCTATGGCATATCTCAAGCTGACCCACTATTAGTGTTGTGTTCTCGTCGTGGACATCAAGTCTCGATATGGTGGAGAGGGCGCTTCGGTGTGACCCAAACCATATTATTGAATCAGTCCGAATCGACGGCAAAGTGCAGCTGAAGAACCGCAGCAATGCCATACAGCAGCTCCATCGCAATCCTAGGATACGCGTCATACTAGTCACGATTGGTTGTGGTGCATGTGGGTATGTTCATGTAGACAATATCCACTAAATCATTCGGTTTTCTAATAACCATCTCAGTTTGGACCTAACAGCCGCTTCGAGGGCACACCTTCTCGAGCCGCAATGGAATCCATCTCTCGAAGATCAAGCACTTGCTCGAATCCATCGATTAGGGCAGACCCGTCCTGTGACAACCATACGCTATGTCATGGAAGACTCGTTTGAAGAGGTATTTGAAAGCGAACAGCTACTTTTCATTGCTATAGGCTGACATATTCATCAATAGCACATTCTCAAAGTCCAAGATCGCAAGAAGCTGCTCGCCACCACTCTATTGTCAAATGGCTCTTCCCTCGAGGTAAGCAATGAACATACCAGCATAGACGGATTAGCAAAAGGATACTAAGGATACCCTTCTAGAATCTGCGCCAATTACTTCACGAAAGAAAGGAAGGCCAATTGTCTTGATGAGTAACAAGGTCATAAAAATACTGAATCCAACACATTCTTCAAACCCCTTGCTCATCATCCACGTGACCGTACCGAAAACCTTGACCCAAGTTCCTCCATGCCGGCAACCCAATGATTCCTCCTAACTAATCATCAATCAAATCCAGGGAATGAGATACATCAAATAATCTCATCCCATCCAGCCGCTCAAGATAAAGAAAAGATGTCTCCCGGAACCACCAAACCCCCTGCAAACCATGATACCAAAAAAAAATGTTTGAAACCAAAACATACATCCTCTGTTCTACATCTTCAGCACAAAGCCCAACAAAAACTAACAATAGCCATAATCGTACACAAGAAAAAAGGTTTACCACAAGGAAACAAGCCAGCAACAACCCCAGCTCAACCCACCCAGCCACCCATCATCCGTCAAACCCCCCTCCCCACAACCACCAGACCCACCATAATACCATCCCTTCCCTCCCCTGCGCCCCCCAGAAAAAGCAACACCAAAAGTGACACAACCACCTCTTCTGCTCCGCGGAGCCTAAAAATTCCTCAGCCCTACACACCCGCACACACGCATAATCCCTGTCCAGACAAGACTAAACTAGACTAGACTCTTCCGAGGGGGGGCGAGAAAACGGGTAAACGGCCCCTGCGAACATGTGCAGGACCCTGCTTCCAAAGTTCTTCGGGGGGGGGGGGGTGGAGCGGTGTTGGACGTCGATGGTGTTTTGACGGAGACGGAGATGGAGATGGAGACGAAGACGGGTAAGAAGGGGGGGTGGGAGGTTACGCGGCTTTTGGTGGTACGCGGCTTTGGGGGTTGTGGGGTTGTTATGTCGTGCAATGTAAGGAAGGGGTGGTTGGGTGTTTTGGGTGTGTGGTGTGTTTAAGGAAGAAAGGGAAGAGGGAGGGTGAGATGGGGGTGGTGTAACGGGGTGGGATGTCAGATAATGACGGGGTGTGGGGGTGGCTGGGTTCTGGTTAGTTGTGTATGCAGGCATGCATGGGGGTTATGAGGATGTGATGGGGGGGTTTTTTTGGCGCCGAAGTGAATAGGTGGGTGCTCTCCTTAGTTAGGGTGTTTTGTGGATTGCTTGGTCGATCGTGGAATTAGGTGAATAGTACAATTTGGGTGTACGAAAAAGAGAAAGAGATAGAGAGATAAGTCGGGCTCGGTACTTTTTTCCTCGCCCGCGGCAGTTTGAAATGATGACCTGTGTTACGGAGAAAAGTAAGCGGTATCCCTGCTCGCAGGTTCAGCCCATTTTTTGCCTACTATACCTTGGGGGCGAGGATGGGAGGCCTGGTTGCGTCAGCTGTCTAGGGTAGAGAGCGTATGGTGTGGCGACTGGAAAACCGGTATTGGTGAAGGCGATGTGATGAACAGTCGAATTAGAGTCTGAGAGAGAAAAGTCTGACTTTTACATGACCAGCATGAAATTATGTTTTATAGTATTTGTGGCTTGCGAAGCTAGAAAATAGCTTTTTGGACGAATAGAAAGTAGAGTAAAGAGTAATAAAACTGCAGGGCTTGAGAATGAGAATTTGGCCATTGTCCTTTTTTAGATGCAATGAAATAGAGAGATATAATGATAGGAGCTGAGTACCAGATCAACCCTAACGATAAAGACATCAAGCTTCCAGAGATTGAATCTCAAACGAAAATGGCCATAGGTTGCGAGTATAGTAAATGATGAAACGGCCGAAATAAAAAAGACAAGTGTTGGGTAGAAGTAACTGCCTATCTGGCCAAAGCAGGGGACCCAGCCTTGACCGCAACCCAGTGTCGGACTTGCAAAAACACGCGCAAGGCATGGATTGTGCTATCAATATTATCAGAAGATACCGATAATGCAGCCCTCACTGCATGTAGTGAGAAGCATTTTGCTGCCCAAATAGCTTTCTGCGAATCGTCTATTGATTCAAGACGCGCAGAAGCCCATGATGCCGAGGCGCCTATGAGGGTTACCCATAAAAAGACACCCGCTAGGTCATGGCCCCAGCAATTCTGTTTGTTTGTTCTCTCAAGCGTCTCGTGGAGAGCTAATAACAGTGTGGCACTCTTCGTGTCGGATCTGGCAGTGGCTGGATAGACAATGCCTGCAGATTCTGCGAGGCTTATTCCATGGACCATTGATCGACAATAGATTAAGGCTGCGATGCGGCAGCTCTCGTAAATCCAATCCGGGGTGATGTCGCTCTCGGTAGACGGCAGTAAGAGAAGGCGTGAGTAGATGGACTGGAGCTGCAAGTCGCAGTTGGCTAATTGCCCACTTGAAATTGTGTGTCCGTCACCGGTATGATTCCATCGTGCAAGAAATATGTCTGTAAAATTTTGGATCTCCATGATGATTCCAGCTGTTCCCACGGAACAAACACGGTACAATTGTGAGGCATGTGTGATAGGAGGCGAAAGTGGCGAGATTAGGATACCATTTTCGGACAGTGTTTCAGATGGAGACCACGGCGTGAATTCTGCGGATTCGGGCTGGTTTCTTGCAATGGTAAAAGTCAACATTATCCTGCCCTGGTTAGCTGATAGCTTGCGTGAGTGTCAAGACTCGTACAGTGTCATGAACCTGGCAACGCCCGGATTCAGCCCGCCTCGATGGCTCCTCAAGCAAGTTGCCAGACCATCGCGGTGCACGCTGAAGACGCCATCATTGACACTCCCGATTTCACTGATAATGAGATGGAGTATGCAGATGATAGTAGCGTTGTCCGTATCCAAGCGACTGCTAATTAGTCTGAGAATCTTGGTTTTGGCGAATACGGTGAGGCGGCTGTCGTACAGCAAGCCTTCGTCAATGTCATGGTAGACCAAGGTAGCATACACATGGCTGAGAAATGATAGGTGACTGTCGCAAACATAACGCATCCATGCTTGATCTGTAATAATGAGCAACAGCCAGGCTTCTGTGCAATGACTCACCATGGCAAAACAGAACGGTATTGCGGATCCACTCGCGCTTCAGATCGCCTAGAGACTCATTTTGAAAGGTGTTGCTTCTCGGAAATGGGTACTCTGAAGCCTCCTCACAGGCTGGAGGTGCGCTGTGGGTAGATGTTGGGGTTGCCATTGATAGAATTCGCGCAGCCAGACTTCGTAGAGAATCGGTTGGAGATGACGGCGAGTAAGCATCACAAGAATGCAGACTCAACGCAGATTCATAGCCTCTAGTATATGCAGGAGCCACAGGTGCAGTGTTAGGTAATATTCCAAAGGAGTCTGTTGTGGCCGGGCTCGGGGTTCGTGTCAAAGCACTTGGTCCATTGCTACCTTCGCGGCTTCTGGCTAGAGTCACAGGCGATGATGCTCGAGTCTCTTGGTGTTTGTACATGACATGTGATCGTACGTTTCTCAGGACTGTCGTAGCCCGGAAATCGTCTGGATGGGTTGCAACGATGAATTGGAGTGCAGGACCCTGTGCGAGCGGTGGAAGGCGGTGTCGGCCTGTTCGTCTTTTTGATGGCTTTGGATCTTTGGACGCCATGTTCAAAGATAGAGGATGTCCAAGATGTGCGTTGCTGTGATGAATCCGAACAAGTAGGCGATGATGCTTCGTCTTTCGGGCCTTTCCAATAAGTGACAGAGGGCTGAATGTTTAAAGGCAGGAACAATTGACCATTGACGTGAGATGCAGGTACCCTTTGGGATACTACAACGTGCTATTAGCCTTCTTGGGTGCTGTGAGCCTCAGCCACAAGGAAAAGATAGCGGTGGACATCTGACAGGGTCCAGGTTGGCTGCGTCACTACGGTATTGGAGTAAAAGCATGTTCAAGGGAGGCCTCAACTCAAAACGAACTGGTGATTACAATTCACAACATGGCAAGGAGGATACAAGGCGTACACTGTTCCTCCGGTTCGCCATCTTAGAATATGTATCGCGCACGCCGGTTCATAATTCTGGCGCAGCACATACACTGAGCAGATGACATTCAGTATATCCCGAGTATGTACTGTTTGAGGCATTGGCTACGGTGAACCCCGCCGTCGGTCCCGAGAAGCGTGCCGATGCGCGCCTCTATCCTCCCGATCCGCACCCGAAAGATGTCGGAGAAGAATCGTTCCCAGCCTAGTGTGTGGCTGGGCCATAACAGCTCACCATCGGCAGCCCGATACCGAGAGAACCGGGCCAAGCGCGACAGTATAGACCGCCATCCATAGTCCTTGATGATGCCAAGCATATTCATGGAACTTGTACTTTCGAGCCTGATGGCTTTGTGGATAAGTTCTCGTATGTCGACATGTCCCGTTCGAGCTCGGCTGGCATAGCATGGGTTGGTCAGGTCTTACCCGCATCTTTTCCTCCAATTCAAAGGTCCAGAATGTAAGTTGGCTGTGGGAACCAAGATCAGCATGCTGGTGGTCAATCAACCCATTTACCTGTTTCAGTGTTAGCGCGCGGGCATACCCTGGATGCTGCATATAAGCCGCAGGCCCACGCAGTGAGCAATGGATCAGTATATCCTTATTGGATCGGTAACAGCCCTAAGAACGCCTTGAGTGCTCCTTTGGCCTATGGTAAATTGAGGGCACAGCGTCTGCAGCCAACCGCGTAGGGCGCCTCCCTGGAAAGATTATAGAAAGTCCAAAGACTGATGGGTCGGGCTACATTGCCCGGTAACCAATTGAGCTTTTTGTATAACAAGGGAGTGGCTCTGTCGCAGCAATGGCTAGCATGTAGCTTGTAGTTTGCTACATCAGCCACAACGTGGGCTCACATAACGTGGCTGTATACATGCGACGACATGACGGAAGGTTTACCTAGAAGAGCAAATTGAAGCTTCGTGCCATTTCCTTGGTTAAAGTGCCACACGGCGAAGTCACTGTCGTTGTCCTAAAAATATTTTGCTCGGAAGGGCTGTTGGGCTGTGTTGGCGGGTTACGGGAACTGCAAGAAAGGGAAAAAAACATGCTCCCCAGAAAAACGACAGGCTAGTGTTGCACTGGCTGCGCATGAAGAAAGCAACAGGCAAAAAGGTGGCAGGCTCCTTGTCAAGCGTTGATCTCTTCTGAAACTAGCAAGCCGAGCAAAAGAAATATGTATCGTGGCGACCTGAAAGTTTGACGCACAAGAGACGTGGTGAATGGAGACTTGCGAACCGTTGACTGACTAGTCTCGTAGTCAGCATACACATACAGATGTGTTGCATCGACCGGTAGGGTGGGTACGACTATGGTATACATGTGTATCCATGCCCAAATCTGGCGACATAAAAAACCGATGTAGCTTTGCTTCTGGAGGCGAATACCTTGTCACGATCCCATCAAGATTGCCGGGGCCATGCTGATCTGATAGCACGTATCGTCATAGCCTGGCGGCATTGCTTGGTGTTGAACCATCGTTGTTGCCACATGGAGGGGTATACAAAGCTATATGTGTGTGTGTGATAGCAAATGACGCAGTGAGATTCGACATGTTAAGGGATGGGAAAAACAAACGTGGGGTCAAAAGAACGCACGCCGCACAAGCCACAGGGATCCAATTACTAACTTGGGTCATGTTTCATTCCTGGCGGCGGCAGGAGCGTATCACGGCATACGAGTCAGGCAGGACACTCGTGCATTGAAGGATTCGATGCTTGCATACAAAGGACAGAATCGAAAAAAAGCATATGAAATACATTGCGACACGTCACAACTTGAAACTATCGACCCAATCAAAGTATCGATGCATAAGTCTAAGTCATGACTATCATACGCAATGGAGTATAGGTAACAGAGCAGCGCACAACTAAAGCCCATTATGCTCGTGGAAACAAAAGCCTTTTCTCTTCCATCACGGTAGACAATGTTTAGTGACAGTAGGAAGCGTAGGAATACATGCGACAACGCCGAAGAGTGAGAGAGAGAGAGCACCACATCAAGGCACATATCGATACCCAGGTTCCCTTGTGTTTTCATAACGTTGATCTTTGGCCCTTGCCCAGGTGTTAACATGTTCGTGTCCCAGGGTTCGCGGTGGATGCGGTTACGAGGCCTAGGAGAGGGGATCTACGTGGTCGCCTTCGGATACCGACTTGGTAGGGTCGTTTCGCCTCATGATGCCCTCAACAGGTCCCAGCAATCGCTGGAAGCCGTTCTTGCCAAGAGTCGCAACCTTGACCTCAGTCTTGCTGATGACCGAGGCAGCGCGGGGCGCATCATTGAGCAGTGCCAATTCACCAAAGTAGTCGCCCTTTTGATATTGATTTACAGGGCCGTCAATGCCGCGCTTGAAGACCTCTGCCTCTCCAGCCTCGAGCAGGAAGAACGACTCGCCAACATCGCCTTCTTGGATGATGGTTGTTCCGGGCGGGTATTTTTTGGTTTCAAGAGCGTCGGCAATCTTTGAACGCTCGTAGGGCGTCAGGGTGGACAGCAGGGGGACCTCTTCGAGGAAGCCCTCGTACATGCGTCGACGCTGGAAGGCGCTGTCCATGAGAATGCGGCGGAAGGTGATGCGGTCGAGTGCCCAGAGGGTTGATGGCTCGGTCGAAGTAACTGTGGCGGCACGGGGCGCATTGTACATGAGAGCCAGCTCACCAAAGGAGCCCCCGGGACCAACAGTGCCCACCTTGTTGCCAGCACCTTCGGCGCCCGTTTCGAGCTTTCCCGACTGGTTGACGTAGATGTCGAATGAGCCCTTTTCGACAACGTAGAAGTAATCTCCGACATCACCCTGCTGGATGACCTTTATGCCCTTTGTTGGTATCGGCTTCTCGTGCAGGGCACCGAGGACCATGGACGATTGGTCGTCATCGAGATGTGAGAAGAGGAAGTTGCCAGAGACTGCCGACTTGAGACGCGACAGCTGGTCGGGCGTCTTTTGATGAAAGGGCGGGGTAAAGTTGTCGGCGGCACTTGAGGTGGGGTTGAGCGACTCGGCCGAGACGGAGGTGCGCCTGTTGGTGTTGTAGTTGTTGGGGAAGGTCTGGCCCTCTCCGACAAGCGGCGGCATCTGGGTGATGTTGTTCTTGGAGGAGCCGCCAAAGCCACCAAAGTTGCCAAAGGCGCTCTCACCGACGGGGCTCAGGTTGCCGTTGTTGCGGACGCGGGCAAAGTCGACGGCAGCAAAGGTCGAGGCTGTGGGCGACGTCATGGTATCGTTCTCCTCTTCTTCCTCGAGGCGGTGCATGGTCGTCTTTGCAAAGCTGCTGCCGCTGCTGGGCGAGGTGCTAAAGGGGTTGTTGCCCGGGAAGCTGTTCTCGGCACGGCCCTGATGGCTGGCGTGCTGTTGCGACAGCAGGTACTCTGTTCGCTGCGACTCGAGGCGGCGGTTGAAGAAATTGGCACAGAATTGGAGGATGTCGTGGGGCTTGTGCTTGAGGATTTCGCGGTCGAGGGTGGAGATTTCGTTGGAGTAGTCGGGAGGGAGGGACATGAGGGCGGTGGGCGGGTGGTGAGGGGTTGAGCGCAGCTCTTTGACGTCGGTCGTCGGTCGCGAGACGTGCAGGAATGGAGGGGGGGAGGGGGGCAGCAGCAGCTGGCAGTACGGCGAGGATCCAAGGGCAGCGGCGATGCGAAGTTCAAGGGGTGGAGGAAGGAGGAGACGGGGGGAAGCAGACGACGGCGGAGGTGAAGCTGGGCGGCTAGTAGAGAAAGCAATTGTACTGTAGGTGCAAAGGCCCCCGGGGGTGAGGGCGCAGTGATGACGCGCTGGGCAGAGTGGGTGGTGGGTGGGCAGGCAGTCAGAGGGGGGGGGAACTACTAGACAGTAGCAGTAGCAGCAGCAGTAATAGGTAGGGATCAAGGCAATGGAGCTGGGGGCGTATTATCTTCCAGAAGGCCTCTAGAAACTCTCGTCTGGCTTGAGGCGCTCACGGCGACATTTAGGCGACGGCTTGTCTGGCAGGCGTGAGTCAATGTCTGGTGCTTGTCCATGCAGTGCTGCCATGGATCAAAGAGCAGATGCCAATAGGCGTGTGTGCTTTAGCTCCCGCTTGCTGTCCATGGCTGGAGCTTGCGCTAGGCGTCAGGGGAGCTTGCGGCGGTGGCGGGGAGGATGCAAATGCCCCAGAGGCCGTGGGAGAGAGAGAGAGAGAGAGAGTTGTAGTATGTATGCATGTACAATAGTAGTAGTACAGAGCAGAGAGGGCTCACTCGCAGACATGGTAGCATCAAATGGTCAACCAAGGCCAAACGCGAACAAGGCAAAGGCGATGCTTGCCGGCTGCTCGTAGCCACGCAGCTCGTTGTTTCCCTGTAATTGGGCGCTGCTGCAGAGGGAGTGGACAATAAACCACCGAAATGAGCCTTATCTTGCATACTGCATCACCACACGCCCCCCAGACTCTCACCCAAGCGGGTGCAAAGATACGGGCGGGCAAACTATGGACAGACGCAGACGCAGGGACAGAATGATTGTCCGGCCCACCAGTCCACCAGTTCTGATGAGTAGCCTTGCCGTGTTTCACCTTTTATTCGAGACCTTTTGATACATGCGTCTTGCAGACCAAACATTGGGCGGGCCGGCTGACACACGACTGGCGGTGAGCCACAGCCTGGCTATGGCGCAGACGATGCGGTGAGTGCACTAAGACGGTGGTTTGGTCTGTGCAAAGAGTCTCTCGTATTCGTGCATGTGCACAAAGGACATAATGCTGCTCGTCCACGGTGAAATGGATTAATGCACGTGTTGGTTATTAGCAGGACGATGACGCACTCTGGCCGCTTGGGTGGGTGGGTGCGTGGTGCAGGGTCACGTGCCCGACAAGGTTCAGTGTCTGCGAGCTGCGAGCGGGAGGGGCCATGATGTATTCTCGTTTTTGCGGGTGCGCGCGCAGTGACCCCAAGCACGAATTGCGCCGCCCACTGCACAACTTGCCCGTGCCAACCGTGGGCGGGTACAGTCGAGCCTGGCTGCTGCAATCAAACTGGCCACACAGGTACACGCACGCAGGCTTTCGTCATTGTACATTTGCTCGCCATCATGTCGTCCCGCCTGTGCCATTTGCAGATTGCGCGCGATCAACGGCATTCCGCCAAGCAATGACGCCGCTAGACCGCGCCGTCTCCAGTCTTGCACCTTGACTGCACTATCGCGCGCAGACTGAACAGCCTCGCCAATTCACTTCCCACAGCGCCTTATCGCCATAATCACCTTGCCCTCCGCCTGCGCTCCTAATCCGCCTCCTGTCTGTCCCCTCCGCATAGCTGCAAGCATTTCTGTCGTGCATACAAACATCGTCCGAGCGCGCGCTGCCGCTTGCTTTAGCTCCACCCGAACCGAGCTCCTGATCCTGCCCTACCAGCCTCCTCCAAAACTGCCCGCTCTTTGCGCCCTCCGACCCATCTCTCTCCTGACTACCACAATCGCATTTCTCCAATCGCCTATTTCTGCTGCGCTGACATGGGCAAATATACTTTTACCTGGTTCGCTTGTCCTCGCCCTGCCTACGACCACAGCTAATCGCTAATGCGCTCCCAGGGAACACGCCGCCAATGATGTCTACGTGACTGGCACCTTCGATGACTGGAGGAAGACAGTCAAGCTTGAGCTGGAAGATGGCGTCTTCAAGAAGACGGTCGAGCTGCCCAAGGTTCACACCCAGTACAAGGTGCGCACGCCCACTTCCGGCTCTCCCAAACCCGCTGCCACCTGCAGCCTGTCGCGCAGACTTTGCTAACGCCTCTCTTGTCTAGTTCGTCGTGAACGGCAACTGGTGTACCAATGAGACCGCCCGCACAGAGGACGATGGCCACGGCATCATCAACAATGTCCTCTACCCCGAGGACATTGTCGACGAAGTGCCAGTCAACACCTTGTCGTCTGTCGGACCCGAGTCTACGACCGCTGCGCTTGCCGGTGCTGTGCCCAAGGAGAGCGATAAGAGCGCCGCAGATAGCTCTGCCCTGCCCGGTGCCTTCCCCGAGACACCTTTCGCAGAGACACCCGCAGGCGAGGCCCAGACCTTCAATGTCGCTCCCATTCCTGCTACCTCGACTAACGGCAACCCCATTAAGCTTGCGCCTGGCGAGCCCGTTCCCGACCCAAGCACCCTTACCAACAACACCGTAGAGTCGACTGTCAAGCATGACGAGGAACCCGAGCAAGAGCCCTCGATTCTTGGTGTTGCCCCCATCCCAGCTACCGCCGGCATTGGAAACCCAATTCACCTTGCACCTGGCGAACCTGTTCCTGACCCCAGCACTCTCACCTCCAACACCATCGAGAGCACTGTCAAGACCGACCCCGCTTCCTACGAAAAGGCCGATGCTCTTCCCCCTCTTGCTTTTACTCCTCAAGCCGAGCGTGATGCCAAGGGTGGCATGTTTGGTATCCCTCCTATCACTGGCAACATGATCCCCGAGTCCAGCCTGCCGATGGGAGTCGATGCTAAGACTGAGCAAGACACTGGTGTGACCATTTCATCGGTCGCCCCTACAAGCACAACTGCCGAGCTTGCTGGCCAGGTTCCCAAGGAGCCTCGTGGCGTCCCCGAGACTGTGACCGAGAGCCAACAGCAGGCTCACGTCGAGCCCGAAGCATCCGCCAATGCTGAAGCCGTCCAGGAGAAGAAGGAGGTCGAGCAAGAGCTGAAGGAGACTGTACCTGAGGCACCTGTCACAAGCCAAGATCCCACTCTGGGTGATCATGCTCAGGCTGCAGTCGCTACCGCGGCTGCTGGTGCCACCGCTGGCGCAGGCCTCTTTGCCGCGGCTGTCTACACTGCCAAAGACAAGATTGCCGAGACCACTGGTTTGAACGGACCTAGCACAACCACTGCCGACGAGGTACCCAGCGTCGTTGCTGAAAGCCAAAACACCGCACACGCTGAGCCAGAAGCGGCTGCCAGTCCAGAGGTTGTTGCAGAGAAGTCTGCCGTTGAGCAAGAGCTTCTCAGTGAGGTCCCCAAGACGACCGAGGCTGGCGAACCCGCTCCCGCCATTGCAGTCCCCGCTGTTGTCTCTGAGAGCCAACAAGCCGCACACGCCAGTCCTGAGGCAGCCTCAAGCCCTGAGGTGGTTGCAGAGAAGTCTGCCGTTGAGCAAGAGCTTTTGAGCGAGGTCCCCAAGACCAACGCAACTGGAGAGCCTGCTCCTACCGCTGCCTCCGAGACTGTATCTCCTGACGTCCCTGAGATTGTCGCTGAGAGCCAGCACGAGGCTCACGCTAGCCCCGAGGCTGCTGCCAACAGCGAAGCTGTCACAGAAAAGGCGGCTGTAGAGTCTGAGCTGCTCAGCAAGCTGCCAAAGGCCGAGGAAGCTGGTGAGCCTGCGCCTGTAATTACTGCCGCTACCACAGCCACCGCTCCTGGCGCAAACACCGAGGCGGTCGCTAGTGAGGTGCCTATTGTTGTAGCTGAAAGCCAGAAGGAGGCCCATGCCAGCCCCGAGGCTGCTAGCAATGCTGAGGCAGTTAGTGAGAAGAAGGCTGTTGAGAACGAACTGCTCCAAGAAGTAAAGCCAACCCACGCTAATGGCGAGCCAATTCCCAGCTCGGCAGCCGTGGACTCCAAGCCAGTCGAGTCCTCCGCTGAGCCTCAGACTGTCACTGAAACCGAGACTGCCAAGCCAGCCGAGTCAAGGCCTATTGACTCCACCACTGATGTCGCCTTTGCCTCTAAGGAAGCCACTTCGACTGAGCAAACACAGCCCGCTGCCGCTGAGGCTTCAGCAGACGCCAAGCCAGATGCCGAAACCTCTGCACCTTCAGGTCAACTGGCACCAGAGGCCCCGGCTAAGAGCCCAAGGCAAGACTCTGACGTGTCTCCCAAGGGCACGCCAGGCAGCCAGAGCATTGTCTCTGCTGCTGACGACAAGAAGAAGAAGCGCCGCTCTTTCTTCGGCAAGCTCAAGGACAAGCTTTCCGGTAAGGACAAGAACTAAACGGTTTATCCATTTCGTTGCTTGTCTGCTCTCCTCGCTAGTCATCTTTAGTTACAGGAGATGATGATGTTGACGGATTGAGCGTGGTAATACCCAGGGTTTCTCTTCACTGCTCTGCTTTGCGTCATATCCCTCCCACTGTTTTCATCGTTCCTAATATGGAGTTTGCTTTTTTTTCTTGTTTTGGTCTATACCATTTTCCTTGCAGTGTGACACGTCTCCCCCGTAGCAAAATTTGATGTGTAATTTCTTGTTCATCAGCATGTCTCGCAAAGGCTCTCTTGGTGGGGTGGGGGGACTAGGTTGCAAAGGTAGATTGGAAAAGAGATTGGGGGCGGTTATAATACATCTGGCGGGAGGATGGTGTGGGAGGATCTGGTCACGTGCTCTTTTCGGGTCTGGTATTGCGTTGTGGGGATATATAGTACTGGCCCATGAATGTATACTTAATCTTCTAGTCATGATTCGTTGGTTTGATTTCCCATGTTGTTTTCGCTCTTCTAGCTGTTGGGTGGTTATTTTGGTTGGTTCACAGGTCATGTGACGTTTTTTCCACTTCACTCTATACACAATGTCAAGCATATACAAAAACTTCATCTCACCTCCGATGTATCCATACAATGTCTTTCCAAAACACTTCACACAACGCCCTTGTACCACCTTTATAACTCACTCTCCACTATGTGCCCCCCCCCTTTCCCACCCCTTCACCGTCGCATCTTTGCATCTTCGCCCGGAAAGAAAACCTCAAAATCGCAACTGTTTTTCAAATATTTTTTTAAAGGAAATGAGAAGAAACACGTAACTCTTTAACTCACACGGATTTTAAACCCCCCCCCCCCCTTTTTGGTCGCTGTTCATTTTTATCGCCGTTTTTAATCAAAGCCTACAATGCCTCTCCATACACCCATACAGCCTACGCAACCCCACCCGTGGTGTGCAGCCACGCATCTCCACCCACAAAACGCCTCCACACATCTCCATTCATCCCACCCCTCCACCCGCCTCCATCCCCGCCTCCCCCGAACCCACGCTCGCACCAACTCATCAGACCTCATATCCCTCATCGACGAGCACATTGCCTGGCAAGACAACGCCATACGACCTGGTACGCGGGGCACACTGTTTGTAGATTGGGATGGGAGTGGGGAACCGCTTTTGTCGTATCGATCTGGGGGTGTTTTTGCGAGTTTGGTAGGTGGTGAGGGTGGTGCTGGGGTTGTGGATGGTGTAGATAGGGAGGATGGGGAGGATGAAGAGGGGGGATTTGAAGAGAAGGAAGGGTCGCTGTTGGAGTATCCAGGCGAGGATAAGGATGGAAGGGGCATTTTGGGACTTGAGGAGGAGGAGAGAGGGGTTAGGGAGGTGTTGGAGGAGATGCTGGAGACGATGGTGAGGAGAGAGGGGGTGATGGAAGGGAAGGGTAAGGATGTTTTGGAGGAGGAAGGGAAAGGTAAGGAGATTGTGGGAGAACAAGAGAAGAAGGGGAAGGGTGAGGTACAGGTGGGGTTTTTGATTCGGAGGAAGCCGGTTCCCGTTACGCAATCGGTTCCTGTACAGCAATCGGTTCCTGTACAGCAGTCAGTTACTGTACAGCAGTCGGGGGACGAGGGGAAGAAAGACGTTGGAGTGAATGTGAGTGTTGACAAAGCAGTTCCCGAGGCTGGTAAGGTGCTTCGGGAGGTACCTGCTGAAGAGCAGATGGAGAGATTCCCTCTATTTCACAGATATGAGGAGGTGCCTCGTGAGCGCGAGGAAGTGAAGAGGAAACAAAATAGGAGGAGTGTAGGGAGGTTAGCTGAAGTACTGAAGGAAGAGGGGCTGGAGGTTTGGGGTATGTTGAAGTACGAGGGGAAAGAGTTGATGGCCGTTTTAAGATATGAGGGAAAGGGATTGTTGGAGGAGGTTAAGGAGGATGGCAAAGAGTTGTTGGTGGGTTGGAAGGAGGAAGGGAGGTGGCTCTCGGTTGTGCTGAGAAACGAGTGGAGAGATGGCAGGATGTTTGTTGGGAGGGGGATTAAGAAGGTAGTGTGTCATATCTAGAGAACTTTCTATGCGTTTACTAACAGGAAAATAGGTGAGAATATTTTTTGGGGTATAGAGTTTTGAAAACTACAAGGTAACCAGGAGTGAAGAATGATTCCGTCGCTTGCCAGTGAAACAGATTGTAGATGATATCCATCATTCTAGCCAGCTACCATCTGTAATATCTCCAGAACCTGTTTCTTTGAATGCAAGGGTACGGGATTCGTCTTGCAGCATTCGTCTAACAAGCTATGCTCTGTTAGTAGGTCAAACTGATCCGGGTGAACGCCAGCCTCGCTCAGTGATCATAGCAGCCTCATGTGCCACACGAAAGAGACTTCGCGATTCTTGCTGTCTTTTCAGTATTCCAATAATCCGAGAATTAGATGACGCAGGCCGCGTAGAGCCGCTTCCTCTGTGGATGGACCCATACCACCCACAGAACAGAATGCCTCCACAAAATGATATACGGTTCGCATTCCCGTGCTCAACCACACAGAGGGCGGCATGGTTGTGCATAGATCTGGGTTCAAGATCATGAGCTGCGGGCCTTGTATCGGTGAACCGAAATGGTGCTTCTTTCGCGTGCTATCCTTACTGGCGCCTGCAGAATCTGTACACTCTCCGGCCTAAAGGGATGTAGGAATGGATACGACTGGTATAGTCGTGGGATTAATCATCTCAAGCTTGTTCAGCCCTGTGGCTAACCTAGAAATGGATTTAATTACAACTGCGAAGACCTTGACAGCGTCCTTCGAAGAATCCGCTCCCAGTGTCAGAGGCAAATCTGTTCTTGCTTCTCTAGCTTCGTTTACAACGCTGACTACTTCAGACCAGTATGTAAGGGGTTTCATTCCAATGCGATAGCCAACCAGCTGATCGTCTAGGCTTTCCTTCAGCTCCTGAAACACATTGGTGCGTGCGGCTAAGCTGCCAGAACAAAGCACGTACACTCTTGAGCACTCAAAGGTGTTTCACAAGTGGCGGGTAACGGCCTCGTGGAAAGGTATTCCATAGGAAAGCAAAGGATGGTCGTGACCATCAATAGCGGGTCGAATTGTTTCACTTATGGTTTTGAGGGTAAAGATGGTAAGGTGTAGGTTCTTCAAGATCCCTGGCCCAGCTCATCTCGCCCGTTTTATCTAACGAAGGATTCGCTCTAGTCTATACTTCGGCTTCCGGTAGGATAATTTCTAGAGTGGGCCCAGTTGATCAGTATACCAAATTGCTGCCTCGGCCGGAAGAGTTGATTGTGCAAGCTCCGAGCTTTGCTATCAATGCTTCCAGTCTCATGATATTATAGATTTTGTAACTCAGGAGGCATGTTTCCTAAGGAAAGGAATAGTTCATGGCCATTTTACTACTATTGTACGTGCCTAGCTTAGATCGTAAACAAGCTAGGAGGACGCTTGAAGGCTTTCAGAATTACACTTTCGAAGTTACTTCAATCCAAAGATGAGCCGTGTGTGCCCTTTACGGCTTGAAGTCTTGGAGGAACGTCCAGCGAACAGCACTCTTCCATCCCCGCTGTTTCCATTTATTAGCCGGCTTGGGGAAAAAATCGATCCTGCCCAGCACTGAAGAGTCGTGTGCAATTAAAACCAGGACATGTTCATCTCCGTCGAATGAAGACATTTTGTCGGCTGATTCCAACAATCTTGGATAATCTTGCATCGAGTCGTCTTGCACAATCTGATTGTAGAAGGGTTTTGTGGGCGATTTTTGCGGATGAAAATTCAAGATGAAAGACTCCGGGCATTCAGTTCCGGGGGCAAATGGTGGCGTCGAGTAAGGAGAAGGCGTGACTACATCAGGGAGGGGGACGTATTCGCTTGGTCGGAACTCACAACAATGGTGGCAGGCATCGCCGCCCAGGTAGATGAAAGTGTCCGGGGTAGTGCGCGCCAGTGCATTGATATGGCCCACAGTGTGCTTTTGTTTACGTTAGCATCATATACACGTGATTAAGATGGCATGCGGAGAGATCATGGATGCCATTGCAACTTACCCTTGGAGCATCCAGAATGTAAAAACTTCCGTCACCAAACCAATCTATGGCATCAAATTTGCTGAATCTCAAGGCTTTATCTCCTTTAAAAGCTAGTTCGATCAAAGGTCGGTCTCTATTACAACGCTCTTAGTATTTCGGGTCTAGCAAAGTATTTACAGTGATGGATGTCTTACTTGTAGTCACTTTCTAGTATCAGGCTATGCTCATCAGCAGGATAGCCAGGGACTAAGGCGTTAATAAAACCGGGTCCGACGATAAGTTTCGTGCTGGATGGAAAGCGTGACATGTCGCCTATGTGGTCCAGGTGCCAGTGACTGCCAAGTTTGTTAGTATTAGTTCTTGAACATCAGCGAAAACACTCTACCTCCAAAAACTTCTTCAATCTCTTTCCTCTTGATGCCATTCTTCTCGAGGACTTCTACGACATCCTTGTCGCCATCGAATACTAGACCGCCTGCAGCCATTATTTGACGGGGAGCAGGGGCGAAGTTCTCAGGGTCTTTGCGAGTGGCCAAGTCGAAGAGGATCTTTTTGCCCGACGAATGCTCAATAGGAAATGAAAACTGAGGAGATCTGGAGATCTCATGACACTTAACAACGAGGTCCGAACAATAACTCGTAGGTATGGATAATCTGTTCCCGGTGTCGATTATGCGAACAGTGACAACATTGTTTGAAGCAGAAACTTCAAGCGAAGGTGATTTGACAGCAGCGACTTCGAAAGCCATTGTCATGTGTTTACTACTTTCGGTAGTTGCGATAGATGCTTACAATTTTGGGTGATTCAACGATTGGAGAACAAGGGTTGATTAAATTTTAACAATGGGCATCTTTTTGAATTAAAGGTTTTCCACTTCTTACAAGAGCTTACTAAAGTAAAAGAAACATGACAAAATCCAGCGATTTGTAATACTATTTTTCCCCGTCAGTTACATGTGTAGTACTACCCGAGCTATGATGATGCAAGTATTGTTCTTTACGTAAGACATGGTATCTAAGAGCCTGGTAGCCCGTGAACGTCGGCTCGTGGAGCGACAAGGTATCGCCGTACTTACCCTGCTACTAATGTGCGACAAATGCCAACCAGTGCACGTTCCTAGACGTGTCACGCGCGTCCATCGTCGCAATAAAGTTACTCGATTAACAGCCCATGCCCTCGCGAATTCCGCTAATACTGTCCTCACTCCTCGGTTCTTGCGATTATAAACCTGCAACCCCATTGTCAATAGAAGCCATGGTTGCTGAGTTACAGCATGTGAAAGCCAAAGTGCTGACGCGCGTTTAGTGTTCGGCGTGCATGGATACACTACTGGCGGTGACGGTATTTCATGTCCCCTTCTTCAGAGCATTGAGAGCGAGGCCTGAGTGTTCAAGATGACAATAGGAAAGCGTTCCAGAATTTTGGGATACACCAGTAGCTTGGTTGGGCCCATTGTGCTGAGCAAGAAACCACAAAGGAAAGCTCGACTTTTAACCCCCCCACTTTTGCAGTTAGCACGATACAGAAACAACCATGACCTTCAAAACACCCAATGCCCAACGCAGCGAGCTAACATGGCTATATCAGACACGTAGTAGCAAAGCGAAGACATGAACGAAGAAGTGAACGCTTTTTTCTTCGTCGTCTCGAATCCACGAATGCTACTGCGTCAAGTCAACACTACAGAACCATATCTTGCCAGGCCCAGTGCCCACGCCAACCCTGTTCCCGCACTTCGCAGAACGTGACGGCCGATACTCTGATGGTATCCACAAGATATTCTTGCCATGATGCTGAATCCACGTCTTATCTGGGCTAACTCTTGTGTCTATATTTAAGGAGCGCCCATGTTCCGCCGTAACTAGGAATCTTGGACTAGCGTCGCCATGAAGGACAACAGGACCGGTCTTGGTATAGAGAGGTGAGTCAGTGGGGTTAAAGGCTAGGTCGTAACTACGCCAGCCGAGGTCCACCGTCGACAGGCACGCGCCGCTTCTCACATCCCAGAACTTGACGGTCATGTCGTCTGATATTGATCCCAGCTTCGTTGAGTTTTCCACGAAACTCACAAAAATGACCTGCTTTTTGTGGCCGGTAAACGTCTGTAAGCAGGCGCCAGTGGTCGTATCCCACAGCTTGACAGTCTTATCACTTGATGCTGATGCTACTAGCTTAGTCGAATCGTGTGGGAAGGCTACAGATTGGACAAGACTACTATGACCTGTGAGTGTTTGTAGGCACGTACCGTTGCTTACATCCCACATCTTGATAGTATAGTCATTTGAAGCTGACGCTAGCTGTGTTAAGTCGTGTGAGAAGGCGACAGAGGTAACATTATCGCTGTGCCCTTCAAACGTCTGCAAACACACCCCGCAGCCTGCATCCCAGAGCTTGACAGTATTATCGTGCGATGCTGATACTAGCCTGATCGAATCGTGGACGAAGGATATAGAGTTGATAGAGCGGCTGTGGTCCGCAGACGTCTGCATACATGCGCTACTGATGTCCCATAGCTTGATAGTCTTGTCGTTTGATGCTGACGCCAGCTGACTCGTATCGTGCGAAAAGACAACTGACGTAACATGAAACATATGACCTTTAAACGTCTGCAGACACACGCCACTGCTCGCATCCCACAGCTTAACAGTAAGGTCGAAAGATGCCGACGCCAACTTAGTTGAGTCATGCGAGAAGACCACAGACCTAACGTGTTTACTATGGCCTATGAGCGTCTGTAGGCACATGCCGCTGCCTATATCCCATAGCTTGATGGTCTTGTCGTTCGATGCTGACGCTAGCTTCATCGAGTCATGCGAGATGACTATAGATTTCACACAAGCATCATGGCCTGTGAACGTCCGTAGGCACATGCCACTGCTTATATCCCAAAGCCTGATTGTCTTGTCAGTTGATGCTGAAGCTAGCTTAGTAGAGTTGTGTAAGAACACTACAGACATAACAGCAGCACTGTGGCCTTCAAAACTATGTCGGCATGCGCTGGTGCTTATGTCTAATAGCTTGACAGTATAGTCCTCTGACCCCGACAATAGCTGATTTGAGTCATGTGAGAAGGCTACAGAGGTGATAGCCTCACTATGGCCTGTGGAAATCTCTGAGAATGTGCCGCTGCTTATATCCCATAGCTTGATGGTCTTGTCTTTTGATGCTGACACTAGCTTGGTTGAGTCATGCGAGAAAGATATAGAAGTGACAGTTTCGTTGTGGCCTGTAAAAGCCTGCAGACACGTGCCGGCGCTCATGTCCCAGATTCTGACGGTTTTATCGTCTGAAGCCGATGCTAGCTTAGTCGAGTCGTGCGAGAAGGCTATAGAGGTGACAATACTGGTATGACCCTCGAGCGTCTGCAGGCACGCACTCCACCCAGTGCTTATTGCTTGCTCAATGGTCACTCCCTTCGGCTTCTCGTGATAGAAGATGTTTCTTATTGTGCTCCCTGTCGGACTGAACAACAGCGCAGATGCGTATACTTGTAAAGGATAGCTCTCAATTGCGCCTTTGTGATACATCAAGAATCGTCGTGCGTCGTAGACAAGCTTAGTTAGCTCATCTATGCCCTTCATCTCCTAGTATAGTTAGCATCTACGTAAATTCAAGTAAGTTACACAGGCATGTTGTCTATGCGTGTCATACCTGGACCAGAGAATATAATTTTGCCATCGAAACCACGCTTTTCCCTATACCCTTGCACAAGCTAAGCCCTTCTAGCCAATAGAGATACTTCTCTTTTATGAACCTGTCAACCACACCTACAAATTGCAGGTCGTTGACACTTTTCCCGTGAAACTTAGGTTTCGATTCGTACAAATGATCAATCCAGTAGACGCACGGGTAGCGTGATGCAGCTAGTGGATCGTGATCAGGCGGATCAGCATTCTCGATAGGAACCCCCGGTACTTTAAGGTTATACATGTCCCTCTGTAACGTCCTGGACAGATTGGCAAGCGACCTTGAGAAGATGATCTGGTGAGCGTCTTCAGTCCCATCAGGAAAGACTTCATCAAACGCTTCTGCAAAAAGGAAATCTTTGGCAGACTGATGCACAAAATAGACTGCGTCTTGTCGCAAAGTAAGGAATGATCCACAGAGGCTGATAATCTCCCGCAGCTCTATTTCATCGTCTATACCTTCGAGCTGTTCAGCCAGGACTACCAGTTCCTGCAGCGCAATTGGCCGATACACCAGTCCAATCAAAGCCAGCACCTGCTTACAAAGTGTGGCGTCATCTGAAACGCTAATCCGCTGTATCATCCGCTTATATAGTGCGTCTAGTCCTGGTGGGAACAAGCCTAGCTTCTTAAGCACGTTTCGTCTCGCAGTAGTTTGAAGGTCTTGACAGACTAGCGCTACCCATAAGAAGGTGTCGTTTGCATTCGATATCAAGCGCTCGAGTACTGCGTCTCTGGTTTTTTCGTCGTATTTCTTTTGTTGTGCTAAGTGAAACACTTTGTGCTGGATAAAGATACCAACAGCTGCGGACACAGAGTCAGCATTCAGCTCAAGACTTAGTGGTACATTGCGCTCTGTCTTCCCCAGTTGTTCTTCGATGTCTGGCCAGTTACGACTGGACACTATCCACTTGTTGCAGGTAGAAGACGTAGACGTAGACGTAGACGACTGCTTTGCAATAAAGTCAAGCAGCTTTGGTAAGTCAGTAACGCATTCGTCTAATGCGTCAATGACTAGGTAGATATTGCGCAATTCTGGGTCTCGTAGTACGTCCGTAAAGACCTCTGTCAACGCCACCCAGGCGTTCGTATCCTCGAACAAGGCTTTTCCAGCGTCATCATGCTTCTTACGGATATGCGATACAAGCGACGGCTGCTGCTTAATAAGCATATATAATAGCCCTCGCAGTACTGCTGTCGCGCTATTGATACGCGAGTCGGTAGCTTGACAGAAAAAATATGCTAGGAGTGTTGTCTTAGATAGTGAGCTGTGCAGCTCGTCTATAATTCCACAGAGTAGCATTGTCTTTCCCTTGCCAGGATCACCTTTTATCCATAGCAGTCCGCCGTGGAGGTCCTGTTGCCATTGTTGGAAAATGGCGTTGTCAAGAACCCAGCGATAGGAATCCGCTAGCAGTCCGCCTTTGGTGTCCTCGATGCGCTTCTTGTCGTCACGGGGATCCGTACCGCGTATGTCTTGGATGCATCTCTCTACTCTATGGACCTCGTCCATTAGACGCTTGAATGCGCTTGCCGCCCCTTCGCTGTACGCTGGGGCTATCTCGACATCAAGGATGCCCGACAAAGAGTACCATGCATCTTCTTCGCGCTTAGTCTCTCTGTCGCCTTTCCAGCGCAGCCGCTCGTCGATGCTGAACTGGGAAAGAGCAGCTGCGTCAAATACTTCGCATGGAATGCCAGTGATTTTGCTGATCAAAAATTTAAGAGATATCTTGTCACCGAGTAACGTCCCTTCCTGAGAGAAGAACTCGACAATGCTTGGAGCAAGAAGCTCCTGAAGTGTCCAACCACGCGTGAACCATCGGCTTGACCTAAAAGCAGATTCCCAATTAGACATATCACCAGACTTCCATGTCCCTGTCGATACATCCGGTAGATACACATAGCATCTTGATGTATTCTGATACCAGCGAAACATAGATCGGATAGCGTGGGACAGCTCAGCCTTATCTGTCTTATCGATGCAGCACGTGTCGACCCAGAAGTATCTTAAGTTATCCCGCTGTGCCTGTTGTCCACAGAAACGTATCTTCTCGTATCCAAGCTTGGTCTTGCCGTCGCCTGTTATGACATCTGCGAAGGTCACCTCCTCCGCATCAGTTCCCCACGTGTGTGAAAGTATCGCATAGGGCGGCACTGCGCTATCCTCGAAGCGGACAATGCCGAGCTCGCCATGTTCGTCGTATTTGAGAAGACGCATCAATTGATGTGGATGCGTGATAAGCGGGTGCGGTGGGAAGGAGATGAGAGAGGCTCAGTGCAGCAGCCTGACAGGACAAGAAGAGTACTATGGCAGCTGACTCTAGCGAGTATGAGGCGGGGCAGATGCGGCTCATGCAGAGGCGCAGTAGCCTACCGCTTCCCTTTATTACTAGTAGTTATCGATAACCCAGCTACTACCCTATCTAGACAACAGTCCAACTAATGATACAATCATCTTCTAGGATTGTAGATCTATAACAACTCGTAGTAAAGTCTAAACAGATTCGACTGAGCAAAGAAGGTTAGTAATGCTAGGGCGATACAACACCATACCTAGCTCGGCATAGCACCCCGAAACTCTACCATACATAATAATGGGGTGGAAGCACGTACTCAATTCAAAACAAATCCACTGAAACTACGCACTCAACAATGCATCCAAGTATCTCTCCATTTCTATCTCAAAAACGAAACAAATGAAATTCGTAACATCTATCATCATAACCTCACTCAGCCCCTAGAAAAGTCATCCCACAACCCTATCTACTGGGGAATAAGCACACCCCTATACCTCATTCCACCCTCCCTAAGCACCTTCATCGCCTCCTCAATTCCCTCCTCAGTCATGGGAAACTCCATATTAATCGGCTTAATGCCATGCAGCGCCGAGAAAGCCAGCATCTCCCTATGCACCTGGCGCGCCGCAACCACACTTCCCTGAACCGTAATCCCATTCGCAATCAGCGGCATCTGCGGAAACGTAAAGTCACCATCGGACACGGTCAAGGGGAAAATGGTCGCATTCGTATTCAGCACCGGAATCAAGAGCTTCCAATCCGGGGTAACGGATGCGGTGACGAGCAAGACGTCGACTTTGCGGGAGACAGAAAGCTCAGTGGCGCCCTTCATGGCCACGAATTCTTTGGCACCGAGACGCATGGCTTCGTCCTTTTTGGAGTCGGAGCCCGAGAAGACGACGACGTCGCAGCCCATTTTTGACGCGTACTGGATGGCGAGGTGGCCGAGGCCGCCGATGCCCATGACGCCGACGCGTTGGGTTGGGCGCACGTTGTAGGCGTGCAGGGCGTTGAAGACGGTGGTGCCGCCGCACATGAGGGGAGCGGCTTCGGCGTCTGTGAGTTCGTCGGGCACCTTGAAGAGGAAGGCTTCGCACCAGACGGCGTGCGAGGCGAAGCTGCCTTGGTCGAGGTTCGCGAAGCCGTACATTTGGCGCTCTGGGCAGTAGGTTTCGCGGCCGGTGAGACACTTTTCGCAGTGCCCGCACGAGTTGTGCTCGTAGCCCCAGCCGACGCGGTCGCCTTTCTTGAGGACTTTGACGTTGGGGCCGATGTCTTCAACTACGCCGACGCCTTCGTGGCCGAGGGCCATGTCGGCGTGCTTGTAGTGCTCGTCTGTGCCGCAGAGGCCGGAGGCGGTCACTTTGATGAGGACTTGGTCGTCTTGGAGATCGGGCTTGGTGGTTTGGCCCTTGACAATCTTGCCCTCCTTGGAGCCCTTGAATACTGTGAATGTCGGCATCTTGGCGTTTTGTCTGTTATATCAAAGTTCGAACTCTAAAAAAGAAGTTTAAAAAAAAAGGAATTGTTCAATCGCTTCAGATTCGAATCTCGTAAAAGCACACAAAAACTGGGTTTGGATAATGAGAGAGAAGTCCAGAAACAGCGAACACCTCTTAGTCTTATACTAAATTCAAGAAGCCAAAAAAACCCACTCATTCTTACACCAACATTACCAACCCCGAAAAGCAGTTACCCATCCCTCCCTACCCCCCACATCTCGGCCCGCCTCTCTTAAGCCCGTAAACTCCAAAAACACACCAGCGTTACTGCAAAAAAAAAACTTTCGCGATCAACCTAGTCTGCATGACGTCGCTCATGAATAATACAACCACCAGCACCATCACGCGCAGGGGTCCTACTTTCCGAGAAAAAAAAGTAGTAAAACAAGCATTATCCCGCATTCTAGAACCCCGGCGATATCTTAGCCCGCAAAAAAGAGATGTACATAAGCCGCTCGGAGGCTGCCCCTCCTAGACCAACTTTCTTCATGCATCGGCCGCGCGCTAAGGGGGGGGGGGGGGCTAAATGCATGGCGTAGACGGAGCAAGTTGCAAGGGAGCTGGTTTCTTCAGCTAACATGGAGCGCAAACAAGTAATCAAAAATCTATAGATTTACATTCTCTCAGCTCACACTCTTGGTAAGCCACCAAAACTCCTCTTTTTTTTGCAGCTAAACTTGTATGCTGTAAGTCTATATTACTACTCCCCCCCTTCCCACCCAAAAAAAGCTTAGCTTTCTACCGAGTGGAAAAAAATACTGCAATGGGACAGTAGTAGGAGTAGTGCATGTCAATCTGAAAAAAAAATCATCACGATGACCATGGTGAATCCCCCCCAAAAAAATAATGCCTCGGTAGATCTCGGCAAATCCGCCATGCAGTATATCGAGTTAGATCCCCCATCAAAAGAGCCGATAGGGCTGGGAAAACATGTGCCAGGCGCGGGATTTTTCTCGCTTGCATGCGGAGCAAGGAATTGAGGAAACGTTGGGGGGTGGTAACTTGTAACTCCGTGTATAATGACGTCATTTGGAGTGGGGGGGGGGGGCTTTTACCTGGCCAGACAGCAGCAACACACGTACAACATGGCCGAACGCGAGTCGGGCCTATGGCATGGGAGAATTTTTTGAACAGTCTTTGAGACTGGGTTTTGGCAGTAAGTAAGGACGGGTGAATTGCTGTTTGTGTTGCTTGCTCATGTGGTTCAGACTGCAAGATGGGCTGCTGGGTATTTGGATTACTCACCCTATGCCGCGGTCTCCGGTACGCTATCGCTTGCTTGTATGCGAAGCTATTGTTGCTGTTGTATAGTGTTGGAGTCTTTTAGATTAGTTGTTCGCCAATGTACTGGTGGCAGTAGTCGATGTTGGAGACTGCTTACTGTGCAGGACGTTTGTTGTCGAGGATGCTTACGATGCAGAACATACCATATCCATATCAAAAGGTCGTCCCATAAGGCTGGGCGTGTCAGCACTAAAACGATTTAGACCAGTGGCATGTGGAGAACTCAGATTGTAGGAATGGAGAAAACATGATTGAGGATTATATCTAGTAGCAAGATAGGCCAGGATATGTTCAGCTCCTCAGTGTTGGATGATTAGTTGATGAAATGCCGTGTGGGGCAGAGTATACTAGGGGAAAAGGCCTACTGCGTCGAGCCCAGACCCCATATCCTCCAACAAAACTAATCATAGTACGGATTCTGAATTTCCGAGCTGAAATCGTGATGCTGCAGTCATAGTATGGATTTTGAACTTCCGAGCCGAATCCGTGATTTATCGTCCGAGATATAAGCTCCCCATGAGTCGTGCGCTCTCTAAGTATCCGCTTGTCCCACCCCCGGGGCAGGAAACAAATGCATCAGTACCGGAAGCATATCCTGCGGTCTCATCATCTGTAAAGCATCAATCGCATTCCTCAATTCTGTGGCCATGTTCACATCCTCCTCGAGCCCGTCGTTCTCACTCCTCTGATCCCTTGTCTTCTCCTTGGTTTGTGGTGTAATCGGGACACGAAGAGCGTCAAGCAGTTCATTCCTCTCAACCTCTCGGCTCTTGCGGGGTATGCAAGGTGGACTATCAGTCCCGTAGATATACCCACTCTCTTCTTGCTTTGGTATTGTGCCAGTAGGGATATCATATTCCCTTCTCCTCGGAACCAGGCTCCCCGCGAACTTGGCCACCCTGATGCGATATTCTTCCTTTTCCATATTACTCTCTGCAATATCGAGTTCCTTTCCCCAATCCTTGGTCAGCTTCTTCATAAGGTTCTTCAATAACTTCTTCTGTGCGCCACAGAAGCCAGTGTACAGGCCCAAGGCGCTATTCTTCCAGGTTACGATGAAGATTTCACGGGCATCGAAGAGCGTGGGCGTGTTGTGATGCTCTAGGACAGCAGCAAGATACTGTTTCATGAAGCGGTGAGCTGCATTGTTGATGCGGATGTTTTTAGACTGAGGGGCAGTTGTATCGTGATGACCTTTCTTGGTCATATCCTTACTCATATCCATGCTCTTGGAATGACCGGAGTGGGTCTGCAAATCGTCAAGGGTGAGTAGTGCAATGAACATGGCAGTATTCCACCTCATGGTGTCATGGAAGCGCTGAAACTGTCATGCTTCATCCAGTCTCCAAAATCAGATGGCCCGGGTTATGTCCATAGTCTGCTTTGCCTCGTCCTTTACCGGCTTTCCGCCATATTGATCGATGACATGTCGGTTGCGGAGGAAGAAGGGAAGTTGAATGCCAGGCGGTATGTTAGGGATGTGCAAAGCTCGGACTGTTGGACAAAGGACATCGGACAGTGTGAGAGAGGGGATATGGAAGGATGGTATGCCTTGTAGCTTGGCCTTGAGCAGGGCGGAGAGGTTGACTTGTTCGTCTTGGCGCGTGCCTGAGAGAGGCTTAGGAGAAGTGCTACACGACATTGTGGATGCGATTGGAGGAGCGGAAGAATCCAGGCAAAGATTTCATCACGATACATGCAGAGTCAGTCATAGGTGGGAGAGAAGGTGATGTGGGTCGTTTTTTTCTTCTTGTCTGTTTGTTTGTGTCGGTCAAAGCGAGAGGTGAAGTGAAGGGCAGGCACGACCCTTTTGCACCTTCCTTGGGAGCAAACACCCACACCGCTGCGGGAAATGGAGAGACGGTCGATACATCGTTTCGTACTGCTAGCTGCACTTTAGTTTTGCAGAATATCACAAGAATGAGAGATGCACGCTGATTAGAGATTGGAGAGTGAGATGAGAGATCCAAGTAGACCAGCACGAGGTCAAGTAGGAAACTTGGAGTCAGGGCAAAAGGGGGCAGAAGAGAGATCAAGAGAGGCAGGTGTAGATGAAGAAGGCAAGCATGAGAAAGTTTGTGATGGTCTTGTCAGTTAGTGTGAGTATGTGCGCACGACGAATGCTTCTGTTTCCAAACTTCAAACTAGAATAATGCGATATCGGTGTCCAAGAGACTGGACTGACACAATTTCCTCAGCGACGAGTGTGTAGAGTGACTAGTAGATACTAGAGATGAACAGCGAGCATGTCAGGGTATGGTGGGCAACATGGGTTTACCAGCATAGTAGGTGTAGGCGACGGTTCGTTTTAGAGTGGCGGAATACGTCACAACTCATGCGGAAGCCGTTGAGAGACCAGGACAGGGCTGTTTACGCTTTTCAGGGCAAATGGGCCCACTTTGAAGACCAATGAGGCAAACATGGGCAGTTTGTAAAGAGGCAGGCTGCGGAATGTAGTCATTTTGTCAGGGAATTTTGGTAGGTACGTGGTAATCGGGCATGGTTACGCGTTCGCAGGCGATCGGTGGGGCTCTGACAGCCACAGGGTGGAAGGATGACGATCTCCAGGGTCAGCCAAGGGAGGAAAATAGGGAGCTGGATGAGGCTGGAGGGCAAAGGCATCGCTGGCTAGTGAGCGGGTACTTACTCTTGAGATTTGCGCAATTGCTGATCCCGTGTTTCAGATTGCCGTCAAGGTTGGCAGGCACACTACAAGTGGATATGTAAGTAAGGAAGTAGACATGGACTTTGTTTGAACGCGCGTTGGGTGACGGCGGGCGATGGGGGTCGTGTGTGTGGTAGAAGCGTCGTTGATTGGCACTTGGATGGTGGTGAGATGGGGGGAGGGACGGTGATGCCGCTCTTGCCACAGGTGTCATTGGCGCATGAGGAGGGAAGCGGAAAAAACGGTACTAGAGAAGGCGCAGCAATATTGAATGACGGCCACGATGGTGTACAAAGAGTACAGGTCAACGGCTCATGGGCCAGGCTAGTCGAGGGCGAGCATGTGTGGGCGGCGCGTGATTGGCTGACGAGGACGGGGCCCTTGGCGCCAGGCGAGGTTTGGGAGCAGTCATCCGTTGGTGCCGAATGCACGGATGGGGTCATTGACCAGACTTGTCGTGCCGCAGAATGCCGGATGGCATAACGTTGACATGTTCTGCCGCGAGCTAATGTGGCAGCAGCAGCAGCAGCAGCAGCGGTGACGGGCGACAGGCGGTGCTGGTGCCGTGTGTCCGTGTTGCAGTTCTGTGAGTGATGGCTTGGAGGTTGTGGTTGTTGTGACGATAGAGTGGTCAAACTATGTCAGCATCATGGCAGCCGTGTTCCCGACAAGATACGAAGGGCTGGGACGGGTGCTTCAGTCAGCGGCCCAAGCGGTCTAGAGGCGCTGCGGTAATTGGCCGCCCGAAATTGTTCCTGCGTGCGAGTGTGGCGAAGCAAAGAAGCCGTCGTGTCTGTCGCTCATGTCGCCGCGCCCCCCCTGCCAGCCGTGGCCCTGTCGGCGTGTTGCAGATGGTCGCAAAGGAGAAATTACCAGTGCCTGTTTTTAGCAGACGTGAGACACCAGGGGCAACGAGGGAAGGGCACGCGACGAGGGCTTGCAGCAGGGAATAGCCTTTGCGGCCTTGGGTTTAGCAGGCGTGCATTTCAATAGTGAATACGTACATGCTAACCAAGACGGTACATACCTGCCACCCAAGAAAGTAGACGTGATACATGCTAAACACCGACACCCACGAGTTGTATAGTACGGCTGCGTACAGCATTACGACGAGAGCGCTTGGGGCTGGGCAGTCAGCCTGGCTGGACCGCCGGCGCGCACAGGAGCCGCGCGTATTCCCTTTGGCCCACCAGCCCACCTGGGAGAGGACCGCCGTCTGCGTCTCGCTCCCCTGAGAGAGGAGACGGCCTTGGGTGCATAGACCACGGCCCATGGGATCCCTCTCGTCCCCTCGTCCCTCGCTCTGCTCAGGCACTCTCAAAACACTTCGAGTGCGGCCGGCGACGCCCACAGACAAACTACATTATACCACACTGCACTGCACACTCTCATTCACTTAGCTGGGCCGCGTCAAGTGGAAACGTCCGCTGATCGCTGCCTGTCCCATCGTTTGGCCTCTTGCTCCCTGCTATTATCCTAGCTGCTAGCCTCCTTCTCCCCAGCCAAGACCCGCCGCCCGCCGCCGCCGCCTCGCTCCTGCCCTGTTTCCTTCCCCGTCGCCCAGCGCGCAATCACCATCTTTCTCGACATCACCACCACCACCACCCCATTTGTCGCTCTCGACAGCCGCTCGCTCTCCCCCCCCCCATACCCCACACCCTGTCAACCCCCAACTCGCCCCCCCGATCCACGTTCGCTGAAGGAGCTTCTCTCGCCGCTGGTCTGGCCGACCAACTTTAGCAGTACTCGTCAGGAGTACGCCCACGTCTACGCCTGAGGTTCTCTGCCTCACCACGCCTTAATACACAACAACACGAACAACGCCCACAACACCATCGCCCGCCATGCGCTTCTCCCTCTCCCAGTCGCTGCTATGGCTCGCCGCCGTCGCAGCGCCTCTCGTCTCTGCTGAGCGCCTCATCGAATCAAGGTCGCTCAACCCTTGCATGGCAAACTCGTCCTTCTCAGCTACCCTCTTCAACGTCGCCTTTACTCCCGGTAACCGCAGTTTGGGCTTCAAGATCGAGGGTATCTCCAACATTGCCGGCAAGATCGAGGCCGACATCGAGCTGCTCGTCTACGGATTCTCGGCCATGAACCAGAAGCTCGACCCGTGCGGCCAAGAAGAGCTCGAGGGCATGTGCCCCATGAACGCTGGGCCCTTGACCATCAAGTCCAACATCGACATCAGCCAGGACATCATGAGCGCAATTCCAGGTAAGCCGCCCTTGCGCTTGCACTTGTCGCATCCTCCTCTCTAACCCTCCCTCAGGCATCGCATACACCATTCCTGATCTCGACGCCGTTGTACGAGTAAAGATCAAGGATCAAGAAACCCATGTCCAGCTTGCCTGTGTAGAAGCAGAACTGTCAAACGGACATTCGGTCGACCAAAAGGCGGTCGCTTGGGTCACGGCCATTATAGCAGGTTTCGGTCTGATCGCATCTGCCATTACCTCCGGTCTTGGTCACTCCAACACGGCTGCCCACGTTGCTGCAAACGCCATGTCGCTCTTCGGTTACTTCCAGGCGCAGGCCTTTATCGGCCTGTGCGGCGTCCCCCTCCCTCCGATTGTCTCTGCCTGGACCCAAAACTTCCAATGGACCATGGGTATCATCCGCGTTAGCTTCCTCCAGAAAATGGCTACATGGTACCAGCGCGCTACCGGTGGAACACCAACCACCTACCTCTCGCAACTGTCGTACATTTCCGTCGAGATCCAGAAGAAGAGGAGGGTCAGACGTGCCATCGAGTTCACCACCGGAGCTGTCGGTCGTCTCATCGCGCGTAGTAACGCTGCTGCCACCGAGGCCCAGGCTGGTGGAGAGCGTATCGTCCTCCACGGTGTTGAGCGTGTTGGCTTCAAGGCCAGGATTGAGACGACCAACATCTTCTTCACCGGCTACACTTTCTTTGTCATTTTCATTCTCTTGACCGTCATTGGTGTCGTCGCCTTCAAGTACATCTGCGAGGGTCTGGCCAAGGCTGGTAAGATGAAGGGTGACAAGTTTGTTGACTTCCGCAACGGCTGGCAGACTGTCCTCAAGGGTATCCTCTTCCGCGTTGTTCTCATTGGCTTCCCCCAAATGATGGTCCTCAGCTTCTGGGAGCTGACGCGCCGTGATTCCGTTGGTTTGGTCGTTTTGGCCATTCTTTCTATGCTTACCATGATTGGTATACTTACATGGGCTTCTTCCAAGGTCGTCCGTATTGCCCAGCGTTCTATTGCCATGCACAAAAACCCCGCCTACATCCTCTACTCGGACCCTGTGGCGCTCAACAAGTGGGGCTTCCTCTATGTCCAATTCAAGGCCGCTGCCTACTGGTTCATCATCCCATGGCTTGCATACCTGTTTATCAAGGCCATGTTTGTCGGTCTTGCTCAGGGCAGCAGCAAGGTCCAGGGCTTTGCCATTGTCATCATCGAGGCCGTTCTCCTCATTGCTGTCTCCGTCATGCGCCCATGGATGGACAAGAAGACCAACGGTTTCAACATTGCCATCGCTGCCGTCAACTTCCTCAGTGCCTTTTTCTTATTGATGTTTACTGAGGTCTTCAATCAGCCTGTAAGTCACATGCTACATTTGTGCTTTTTGTCTTGATCGAAACTAACATGTCTAGACCATCGTCACTGGTGTCATGGGTGTCATCTTCTTCGTTATCAACGCCGCCTTTGCGCTCATTCTCCTTCTCATGCTTCTCGTCTCATCTGGATTTGCTCTGTTCACCAAGAATCCCGATACCCGCTATCAGCCAATGCGCGACGACCGTGGTTCTTTCATCAAGTCGCAAACCCAGCTGACCACTGAGCTTGATGCTCTTGGTGCAACTGCTCGCGGTGAGGGCAAGGGCACCCACCCCACTGGATCTCGCAGCCGTATCGACGATGACGACGACTACTACTCCGAGGAGCAGCGCCAAATGGCCTCCAAGGAGGGCAACTTTGGCGAGCACTACGCTGCCGCACCACCACGAAGTGCAGGCAATGACGGAAGCAACCCGTCTGCGCCTCCATCCTTTTATGAGAGCCGCAGTCCGGCACCGTCATACCGACCTGGCAGCAATGGCCAGCAGTATCGGCAAGCCAACAGCTCAAGCCCATGGCAACGGGGGGCAGGATATGAACATTGACGCCAGAGCGAGCACGAGGAGCAGGTGGGCCAGATAATTGATTCGTACAAACGCTCCTCGGCCGCTCAGCAACAGCAACAGCAAAATCAACAAAACAGATATTAGGCCATCTCTACGCCTTGTGTATATCTCGAGTATCCATACAAGAATATATTGTAATCATCAATCGAGTTGGGGTTCGCATTGAAGAGTGCGTATGGCACGACTAGACCCTCGCCACTACTAAAGGCGACTTTCATCTTGGACACCTCTGCATCCGCTTGGACAGGGCTGCACCATGTCGCTCTTCTTGGGAGCGACTAAGCATGGAGGAGGATAATGTTACCTGTATATTCATCCGGCATATACGTAATCATCCCTTTTCCTCGTGCGCCAGTTTTTGTACTTTCCTTGCGTATGGGTATTTGGGAATTTCCTTTGTTTCTACACGGCGTGTCAACTGGATCAGCCTTGTTTCGATCTTTTTGTTTTTTTGATATCAAGCATGTGTGCGCACATGTTCCGCTGCAATGAGCTGCTGCTGAGGAGGGGAGGTAGGAAAGACGGAGAGATAGACCTACGCAGAGAAGAAATCAATCATTCAAATAGACTGTACTGCCTTGCCCTGTTCCGCCATGGTGACCGGCGATTGACTTTGACCTGTCAATAGAGTGAACCAGATGATCTCGAGGTTTGACGTTGATAGTCGATAGTGCAGCCATGGCAGGTTTGGTACAAGCCCCACTTATTGTGCATGCCGGCGGCTATCATGAACGAGAACAAGATAAACTTGTCGCATCTCTATTACCAAGTTCTGCTCGGTCAACATTCGGTTCGTGCATACTAATTCTCCGTGCCAATCCGAAGGCGGGGAATGGCTGAATATCACACAGCGTATCGTTGACTTGTTGATCGGCCGAGGTCCGCGTGGGTGACTTGTTGATAGCTCCCACATACTCCGCCATGGATCTTCCCAAGTCCGCGGTGACTTGCTCTTGCACTCAAGCCTACACTGATTTGAGACCTTGTCTTGAGCATGGTAAGCCTAAAGACAACGAAGAGCGCTCTTGAAGATCTACCAGTCTAAACATGCGATGCAATCGACGCTGCAGGAGCCAAGGGAAGCACAAACGCCGATTCGCCTCAGTCTCATTGCTTGCCATCTGATCATGATACTGCTGGTGATGACGACGATGATTGCCAGCGCATGGACAGGCTCACAATGCAGGTTGACTATCCACTATCCAGGACAGAGAGACGACACGCACCTCATCATCGGGCTGCGAGAGAAAGACATCTCCTAACCAATACGTCACTAGCAAACATGCTTGCTCTCGGACAAGACGGCAGCCAAACGATACATGACGGACAGAGCCAACGACAAGCTAGCGATAACTCAGAACTGCTCCACATGATCCCCACGATCTCATGATTTTTTAAAACAATTGTGCAGTCAGCGACGACGTCACAGAGGCACGTCGGCATACAGAGATACCGGAATATCGCCGAGCGAACAACTTGACACACACAACAACTAGGTTTTTCGGCGACACTCTCAGAGGCTGCCAAGCGGATTGCCTGAGTTGGAACACCCAAGGGCAAGTAAACCGCAATGAGGAAGCAACACGTCTCTGCAATGGGTAGACGTCCCGTAGCCCAATCAAACGGCGCACGTTCCTACGGGCCTGGAGACTGATTGGAGATCCCAAAGCCAAGGATGCGCCCTCATTTGCACGCCCTAGCCAACAGCTAGTCGCGACCATAACCCGGGAGGGAAAGACGGGTGAATAAGGTGTGACTCTGGAATGCCCCGATCCGCCTCAAAGAAGCACCTCTGTCTCCTCCCCCCCTGCGAATCACATTCCCGACTGACACTTGGGCTAGAGTTGCGCGCGGTTGCCTGCGCCCTGGCTACGTCTCCGGGCCCGATGGGTGTCTCACCCGCCCCCCGCAGCCCATTTCTGCTTATAGACCGTTTGCAACTCCGATCCTTTTTCTATCGCCTCTCTGATACAAGACCACGTCCCTTTATTTTTCCCGCTGCACCACGCCCGCGCGTACCGCGATTCTCCTGAAACCGCAAAATATGCTTCCGCCTACTATCTGGTAGGACGCGCCAAAGTGTATTAGCGGAGGCGTCTCCTTATCTATTGTACCATTACCTGTATCACTGTTTATTTTCTCGCTTTCTTTGTCAGGTCGCTTCTTCCGATTCCGGCACAGGGACTGGCATACCGCAATAAAACAAGCCAAACCCCGGGGTCCTTCGGCTTTACAGGTTTCCTCCCTCGACTTTCCAGAATCCCGTCTCCGTTTCGCATTGGTTCTCGGGGTCTATTGGGCAACTCTAAGCTCGCATTGTGTTTTAGCACTCAACAAAAAAACTTTAACACGATACACCCGCACACTGTAACCGGACAGTGAAATTTGTCAGACGTGAGCACTGTCAAGTCACAAATCCCCAGGGAAACCATCATGGCAGAACCTCCCCGATTTACCTTACCAGGCTCGAGGGAAGAACAATTGAGATTCACATTACAGCCCACGACAGAGATAGACACTAGGCAGCTGCCACAACTTCACGTACGCACCGACAAAGTAGTAAGAGAAGGATACCATCTTGCTGTTCCTGGGAAAGAGCCGGGACGGTCCGCGGCGCCCACTATGTCAACGCCACCAGCATCGCCAACCAAACGTCGTTCTTCAACCATGGGTACGCAGGACATCAAGATGCTGCACGACAGTGGTGCCATTACTCCTCCAGGCACACCTCACATTAAGGCGCACTCAAAGAGTAACTCCACTTCATCTGATTTTCTGAGTTCATTATCGGACTTACGTCGCGGAAGTTCTGTGTCGTCGAGGGGCCGTCCTCGACTTGATTCCCTCGAGAGCACGCCACAGCCCGGTAGCACAGAACTCATAACCTTTCCGCACAACGTTCGGGACTACGAGATTTGCAAAGATGACCGAGGACGAAAGAAGAAGATTGGCGAGGGCGCATGGAGTGATGTGTATCTTGCAACCCCTTGTCTCCCTAAGCCGACCAGCCAAACCTCATCCAAAACTCACTGCAGTCCTGACATGACACCACCCCTGACCCCCGTGCGTGGTGCAGACTCGAGCGCAAGTCTTACGAAGCTACCCCCTACACCCATTCTCTACGCCGTCAAAGTCCCCGCCATGACGAGCGCGAAAAAGGTCCTCAGCGCCGAAGCCCGCATCCTCTCCTATCTAACCCACTTCCCGGACGCTGAGCACCACATCGTCTCCTTCTATGGCCTCGACACACGTAGCGGCTCACTCCTCCTCCGGGCAATGGACGATACCCTAGAAGGCTGGCTCCAAAAACACCTCAACACGCTCGACGAACCGGCCCGCGCCGAAAAACTAACCACCATCTTCCCACGAATCGCCATCGCCCTAATCGACAGCCTCATCTGGATGCAAGACAAACACTGTACCCACGGCGACATCAAACCCTCCAACATCCTCGTCTCCACCGCCCCTTCTTCCTCTACCCCTAAACCCCTTTACTCGGATTTCTCATCTACAACCCTCACCCTGCCCAACGCCACAATCGACACCAGCACCTCGCCCCTCGGCGCAGGAACTTGGGACTACCTCGATCCCTCGCTCCTCACCTCAACCTGCACATCTCCGCCCTCGCACGCTACCGACCTCTGGTCCCTAGCCATCACCCTGCTCTTCGTTGTCCTAGGCGCCTCGCCGTATGATGCGTTCCGCCATAACAAGTATCAGCAGCGCGAGATGATTAAGAGTGGCTGGCCCCTCCAGTGTTTGGGATATGATGAGCAAGGTATGCGGAATATGCAGCGGATTAAGACACTAGAGAGCGGGTTGGGCCTGGATGTTATGGCGTGGTTTGGCTTGGTTTTGGTCAAGGAGCAGGAGAAGAGGGTTGGGGTTTTGGAGTGGAGGAGGGGGTTGACTGGGTAGGGTTGGCTTGGGGAGACTTGGGTTTGAGTGACTACGGTGGTGGTGAAGATTGATGCCTCCCCCCTCCTTTTTCTTTTTTTCTTCTTCTTCCTCCCCCTCTTTTTCTCCTTTCTTTTTTTTCACCCGCTTACGTTCTTAGCGGGGGGTGTCTTTCTTCACATTCAAGGACTTTTTTTTCTTCTTTTCTCATATATCCCCCATATTTTTTTTCACTTATTTTTCGCAAATCATACTTGGTTGCATATAGGACTTTCGCTATCACTAGATACCCCCCCCCCCCCTTTTTTTGGTCAACGGACTATTTCAACTATAAACTTGGTAAAATATACTTGGTAACATTTTTATATATTTATACTCCCCATTCTCACATTGTGTGATCTATAGCTTTCATAATAATACCACTTTCGATTCCCTGGCCTACCTTCTTTATCTTTCTCAAAAAATGGGACTTACATGTCTACAGGTGGCTCCGGACATAACGGCGGCGCATCACTCGGTTCCTTCGGCGGAACCGGTCGTTTCCCTTGTACCCTCTCCCCTTTGACAAACACGGGTATCACGCCCCCCGTCTCAAGCGCAAACTCCTGAGTCCAATCAGTATACATTCCCTTCTTTCCCATCTCCAACCCCCTTTTTCTTCTTCTTCTTCTTCTTCTTCTTCTTCTTCTTCTCCTCCAATCAGGTGTAACAGGGACTAGAACGAAGAAAGGAGGGAAAAGAAACTTACCCGATGTCCCAACCCCACCAACAAACTCCCAATCGCCCCCGAATGACTCGTCATCGACACCACCACACCCGCATCCGCCTCAAACACCTCATCCAGCAACATCGCAAGTCGATAATTCCTGGCCGCTCTCGGTTCGCGGTAGTCAGCCAGCCACAACTCGTCTTCCTCAGCGAACCCCGGTTCGAACGTGAGATCGGGGTGTGCAGCTTGGATTTCAGAGCGGGTGCTACGGCGGTCGCAGGTATGGACGCCTAGGGCTTCGCGGAGGAGTTCTTTGATGAGGGGTTTGTATGGGTGTGTGGGTGGGAGGGGGAGAGAGGAGAAGGAGAGGGTGGCTGTTTGGATTGTGCCTTTTGTTGTGCGTTAGCACACGAACAATATTACAGTGGGACGAACGAGACTACGAAGTTTCCTAGAAGGGGAAGGGGAGAACGTACGTGTCAAAGGAGAAACATAATATGTCTCTGGTGCTGGAATCCCTTTTGCGAGTTGAGCGGACCAAAGTTCGTTCACGGCTTTTGCCTGGGATTCGCCGAGGGGGGTCAGATGCGCATCTGCCCAGGTGATGCCGTCTGCGCCGTCGAGAGCGGACCAGTAGCACTTTGTCCATCTTAGCAAACGAGCACGACATTTTCTCAAGCGTAGCTCAGAGAGAAAAGAAGAAGAAGAAGAAGAAGAAGAAGAAGAAGAAAACGTACATCCCAAGCTTTAGTCCCGTACTTTGTTTCCGCAACATTGTGCCACCCTTGACCGTGGCGACCTAGGAAAAGCACCTTGTAGCTTTCGCCGTCCTTCTTGGAAGCCTCGAGGCTGCGGACATAATTTTCAAAGCGTTGCCATTGCGTTCCCTTCTCTTTGTCTTCATCAGAGTCCGTAGGATATGTACGATTGATCAGTCCGAAATTCGAAGTTTTCTATTTCCCAACAAACAAACAAAAAGATGATTAGCTTTTGTTCCTCGTCTCCCAGAAACCCTTCTTTCTGATACGGGATTTTTTTTCGCTGGGATATCCAAACTGAGGAGGAGGCTGTGTGTAAACTTGAGAGGTATTAAAGAACATACGAAATCAAACTCCTTATCATCCGTCTCATCCTCACTCTGCTGGAAAAATCCCTTTTGCACAGTGAATTTATAGTGAAAGTCCTGCTCTTTTCCACTACCGCTCCCTACGGGTACGATATCCGAATGCCCCGCAGTACTCATTTTGAGATAGAATACGGATATAAAAGTAACGGAGACGAGGGCAATGGATCTATGTATGCATGAGTAAGGAATGTAAGTTGTGACTGGTAGGTCATGAAGAGAGAACAGAAAGAGATATATTTACATTGAGGTGCCAACACTACGAATCCTGGATCTTAGATAATTCGAGGGGACGAGCATAACGTGGGGTAAGTAGGAATCTAGGGGTCTCATATTTGACAGGCATGGGCAGGGAAAGGGCGCTAGTAGGCTTGGACAAGCCAATCACATGGCGGGGCCTCGTCACGGACAGGTGTTCTGGATATTCGCTCACCCATACATTCGGAATGACATGAAGACATGCCCCAGTGCTCCATAGTAGCCAAATACATAAACGACATGACGTCAGAAGGGCATGAGTTCAAAAAAAGGTGGATTCTATTTAGCATCCAGTGCCGCTCAGTACGAGCCGGCTATCGCAGCCTGTGCAGTACAGGCTAGGCCAGAGCTATGATATGCTTCCCACCAAAACGGGAGTTACATCGTGATACCCATCAAACGCCCATCCCAAGCCCGCTAAACCAGAAGAGACTTATTGTAGCCTTGGCTACGTTTCTGAGCAAAGAAATCTGCTGGACCATAGCCTGATCGCATTCCAGCGCCCAAGCTCAAGTCGAAACAAAGAGTCGCTCATTTCTTCTTGTTCGGGAACTTAGGCTGTCCAATCTTGTCACCCCGCAGGATGACATTGAGCACACGCTCCATAGTCGCCAGCAACTTCTGATCTGGCGTGGCAGTACCGCGCTCAAAGTCTGCTACGATGGTGGGTGTGGTGTTGCACTTTGTAGCCAAGTCCTTTTGTGTCATTGTGGTGCCCTTGTCATTCTTCGCCTCGGAGCGCGCCTTTGATATGGCCTGACCGACAGCAATGCCAACGGTCTTGGGCTTAACGATGTCGTCGGAGCGGTCAACTTTGGTGAGACGTTGACCTTCTGATGAGGCACCCTGTGATTTGCTTGTCAGTAATGTTTTTGGTTGAGCTTTGAGGAAGACAAAGGCCCAGGTTTACTTACTGCGTTGGCTGAAGCGAACTTCTTCTCTGTGGCAATGATACCGCCGCTTCGCTGAGCGGCATTCAGGGCTGACTTGCCCTTGACTACGGTCTCGCGAGGTCCAGCAGCGCCGCCGCGGACACGGCTACCGATCTTGGTGACGGAGTTCCAGTCGTCAGACATTTTGATTGTGTGGCTGATAAAACAGAGGAGCTGAAGTTGGTGTATAGAAGGCTGCGAGCGGTCTCGGTGATAGAGTATTGGGCGCTTGAGTTTGGCGTTTGTTTGTTTGTTGGTGAAGTGGCCAAAGGTGAAGGAGGTGAGTGAGGACAGTTGGATATATAGAATTGCCAAATAAGGTGGATGGATGTTTTGCTTATGTAGAGGCCCAAAGCAATATGGGCCGCGATGAGTCGAAGCGGCAGGTGAGGTCACCGCCACACGCTAGTCTCGCTTAGGTCAGGGCCTCTCGAAGCTTCCACGTTCGCGTTCCAGCTCCAGCCCTTCTTCCGCCCTTTCTTTCACCAAGCCACTGGCTCGTTGTTGTCGCTGACACGAGACATTGATTCCATGTCGCTATGCGCAAACAACTCGCCGTTTATCACCGAGATGCTGCACAACTCCATTGGGTTCACTCGTGCGCCATGGGAAAGCTGCAGTTCAGTTTCGGCGTCTTCGGAAATTTTGTCTGACCAAGACGCACCTCAGAATGTACACAACCCAGATGTTTTATCGTAAACAACCTCTTCAGTATACGTCGTCCTTCCTTCTCGATGATGGACTCGTTTGTCAAAAGCAGGAAGATTGATTACCGTTTCAAGCCCTTTGCTTGTACTATTGACCTAATGCTTGGGTGTCTGCTCCTTCTTCATGGACAGGCGCTGGTGCTTGAGGCGGGACATTAGCTAGCATGTTGAGACCAATTTCATCACAGGACATTGAGCATAACGGTTGTTTCTCCGTGTCAAAATTCCATTGATGAGCTTTTGCAGCCCGCTTGCTTGCAGCGCGTCTCTACCTGACCTGATAGCTCATGAACTTTTTGACAAAGGCCTGTCCAATTCGACAAGCGCCCAATCAACCACCGGAACGCCATTGCATGCATGCAGCCATATCGATTCGTATCGTCCGCATCTTTCACGTCCGAAAACCCATACATTACAAGTTTGCTTGCGCAGCCTCACGCGCAGCCTCGCGCTCAACCTCGTACATGAAGTCGAAGTATGGCTTGTCAAAGTGGTGCACACGTACGTATCCGTCCTCTCCTCCACTGCAGTAACTCGTGCCCTTTGGATGTACAGCAACATAGTTCAGGGGTCCGAAGTGGCCACGTACGCGACCAATCTCCTCCATGAAGATCTTGTGGTAGAAACGGGCCTCGAACTTTCCTTGGCGTGCCGAAGTGGTGGTAACATCCATAGCGGCCTGTCCTCCTCCAAGAATAACGTAGTCCTTTACTGGTGTGATTGCTGCAGAGTTCAGCGGAGTGTCTGCAACGTATGACTTCAGAACGCTAAGGTCCTCGACATCGATGAGCTACCATGTGTCAGCCTGATCCAAGTGTGACGGGGTTTGCGAGTTGGTGTACCTTTGCCGTCTTGTCCTTGCTTGCGGTGATGAAGTACGACCTGTCAGGTGCCCATTGGATGTCGGCTACCAATTGTCAGTTCCTGGATTTTCTGACGACAAAACATATCGAGACTCACTGATTTGCATGTCTGGCTCATGTGCGTCGTAGTTTGAGCTAAGGAGTTCTCCGGTCTTGCCGTCCCACTGGGTGATTGAGCCATCTTCGTGTCCACTGATGATGTACTTGGCGAGGTATGAGAAGCCCGCAACGGTCGCCTTGGATTCGTCGCACACAATCCTGAGCAACTGTTCGTCTGATTGTTGCGCCTCAGGGTCGGGGTTGATTTCGTAGACGCAGATGGTCGAGAGGTGTCCGGATCGCTTCTCGGTAACACCAAGCAACTGCCTTCCGTCGGGAGAGAATTCGCAGCGTTTGATACTGGTGTTGAACTCCCAGGTGTGCAGAAGCTTGCCGGTCGGGACGTGCCATAATCGCATGGTGTTGTCGGCGCCACCAGTGGCCAGCAGCTCGGTGGATGGGTTTACGTCGACGGTCCATAGCGCTCCCTGGTGTCCGTGGTATGTTCCTATCCGCTCGCCGTTGTGTGAATCTGTATCGCATCAGCTTCAGTGCCCTTTCCGTGTATAGGCAGACCGTAAACTAACACCAAGCGCAGACAACATGGTCCTGGAAGTTGTTAACATGGCGAGTCTTGAAAATTGGTGGAGTTTCTTACCTTGGAAACGGAGAAGATGATGTCGCCATCAGCATTGTACTGCCTCTTGTCAATATCCCCTCGCCTCTCCATCGTGCATGGCGCATGCGTACCTTGACCTGGGTAAGGGCGCGCTCGTGACCCGAGAGAAGAATCGGCCTCATGTTGGCGGTATGGGAGTGTGGAGGCGGGGTTGGGTGTTGGCTTATATGGTGCGGGCGGCGTCTCTGAATTTCGGGTGACTCTTTTGCATATCGACGTTCAGCGGGCGAAGTGGGCTGCTTGGCACTAACCGACTAGCGTGGGTTCATCCCGCACTCGTGCATCTGCATCTGCATCCACCACTGCGGCTCAACACCACCACATTCGACTGACTCACATGGCTCGCGCATTGTACGTCTTCAGGCCGAGCTTATCGGAGATCAACCCTGTGTGTGTGTGTGTGTATGTTCGTACTTGGAGTTGAGTATGAGTCAAACCCTGGATCAAGTCGGTTCCCCGTTCTAGATCGCATAGAACTGGACACATGAGGAACGCCGGGTGTCCAGTTATGACCAGTTTTGTGACTCATAAGCAGCTCAACGTTATAAGCGAGATTACGGCCATATCTCAGCGTGCTGACGAGTATTTCACCGCGAGAAACTCACTTATCTGCCCCATGGCCACTTGCTTCATTTGCTCATGGACATGTCCGCTGCTTCTGAGAGTTGGTTTTTGGCCGAGTCCTACTCATGGCTTCCTTATTTGGTCTCTTAATACTTTCCACAAACGCAGTTTCAATGCTTGGAGAAGTCTTGGAAAGAACGTGACTTGTTGGCGCAACTCCCTTCGATTTTGCCATGCCGCCAGGACTTCTCTATTTGATACAGCTACTTTTCACAAAGTTATACGCTCTCAAATGTGTTGTGACTATTAGTTACACTGGAAAAAATTCATTTCATCTCTCAGTCTTCGCTGGTCCCTGAGGATACATGTCTCGCACTTACCGTTTGCCATGAGCGCGGGCTTGGCGCAAACACACTCCTACCTGTTGCTTGAGACTGGTAGCTTCTTGACATCCAAAGGTTCCTTATATGTTCATCATTCTCATAACACAAATCACAAGGATAGCTATCATTCCACTTCACTCGTTCAGGTTGCTATTAACAACGATCCACAATTCTTAGAGCAAACATGTTTCCTGTCGTACGCGGTACCACCATCATATCAAATTTACTGGACAGGCTTGAGCCTCTTGAGCCAAACAACTACATAATAGCCCTTGGCAAGGGTAGCCTTCAATTCATTGGCAGCCCTAACGGCTACAAAGCGTGAGATCAGGTATATGGTTCTGGGAGAAGCTGGTCCAGCTGACCATTGCACAGCACATACATACCATCGGTTTTACACTTCGATCTCCTTACAATTCCCATTAAAAGAATCACATGGGCTTCCTTGGGGTGCACTCCTGATTCTTACTTTTCAAGCTCGAGCTGATCAACGGAGAATTCACGTACAGCATTGGCACACATCGGCCGCCAGCCTTGGAAGAATTCCTGGTGAATCTTACCAGATCAAAAACTCACAAATCTCATCTGCGGATACGATTTGGAGCAAGCGGTTCTTTTGTTGCATGGTCAAACACAGTTTGGATCTGCTCCAAAGTTCCACCACAGCTCATTTTAAGATTGTGAGTAAACAAGCCCATTTGCACTTCACTATATGGCTAACAGATTCTTAGGCAGCTAATCAGTTCGTACTCATGCAAAAAGAATAACACTACCAAGGGTGTGTTTAAGGATGAACCACTAGATGATGTGCAGTGGCATTCCAACGGATCGTTCTACGCCAAGAAAGGCAATAACGACATATGGAGCTTTAGCGCATACTCTGTTAGCTCTGCATGGTATGAGATGTGGGAGGGTCTGGGCATAGACGAGCGATCAAGTACAATTGCAAAGGAGCTTGCTGTGAGTACTTCATGCTCATGGAGACCTTGCTACTAATACGAACAGCATGTCACTATAAGTCCGTATTCAAAAAAGGGAGAAACATTTGCCTTCATCAAAAAGACGGAACCAGGCAAAGAGCCACCGTTCATCGTTCATTTTGAAGGGGAGCAAAGACATTCTAACTTCACTGTCGACGAGAGCAACACGACTCCTCCTCCAAAGAGATATCCTCGGCTCGATAACTTGGATGGACGCGACTTTCGATTAGCTATCAGCAAGAAGACTCGCCAACGTCCTACAAATGACTCATGGGATTTGGGCCTGAACAAGGGCGAGGGACTTCTGGTTCTGCGCGACATGAGACGTGGGTGGCATATGGCCATGAAAAAAAAGGTCACATTGGATGGGTACACGGCTCCTGGATTGACTTTTGTGACAATAAAGGAGATCAAGATCCTAAAGCGGCATACGCCAGATTCATGGAGGACCTCGATAAGATGTTCATCCAGGGTCAATTGCAGGAGTTTCCGGCGATGAAAAGCTATGTTGATGATTGTACCAAGGTGGAATGCAAGCCGCAAAAGCAAGACGAGTCCCTGTTGGGGATTTGTATCCACGATCTACTGGCACTGCTCGAGGGTTCCGGTAGGTTTTCGTACGAGTGGCTCAAGGAAGGCCGCAACCTCTGGCATCCGGATAGGTTTGCCAGGTTCTGCAAGCCTGAAGAAGCCGAGCGGCTGAAGCCCATGGCCGAGCAAATGTTCGTCATGCATGGGACACTGATGGATAAATGTACTAGGCGTTAGCCAACGATAGGAACGGAGTTACTTGTGCTGCATAGCTAGACGGACTTCGCAAAAACAAATTCATGAACAGTTATTGCGGGCACTGATGGCAGCAGGTGATTGGTGTCGATAACGAAAGTCTGGTTAGCGGGCCTGCACACCGCGTCTGCAGTTGCATAGTTTCCCGATTCTGACTCGGGATCCCTGGTGTACGTAATAAAGCTCACGCGAGTCGGGGGGCGTGGAAACTTTGGCGGTGGACGTGTTTTGCGCATTGTCCGGGGGGCACGCTGCTATCGCGGGCGCCAGACTGAGTCATTTCGAACAGACATGGAAATGCGTATATCACCGCATACCCACTAGACTTGGAAAAGATACGCAGACTCCGTCGGCAGGATGATGAGAGTCTACCCAATCTGCGGTGCGCGTCTTGGAGTCACCCGCCGTTGCTTTCCGCAGGCCACAGCTACCCCGCCGAGAAAATATTGGTGCTCAACATCCCCCCGCCATCTATATACCGTCCTCAAGCCGGCCCACTGCACAAGGCAATTCTCCAGTACGCGCTTCGTCATGGCCGCACAAAAGATTGACGGCACTGCCATTGCGAAGAGCATCCGCGAGCGCCTGGGTGCAAAGATCAAGGACAAGCAGGCAAAGAACCCGCGGTACAGGCCCAGCCTGAAGATTGTCCAGGGTGAGTGGCATGCCATTGGGCTGGCCCGAGACGCTGCCAGACGCTGACACCACGCAGTTGGCGACAGGTCAGACTCCAGCACATATGTGCGCATGAAACTCAAGGCCGCCGAGGAGGCCAACATCGACTGCGAGCTTGTCCACTTGCCCGACGACGTGACCGAAGCCGAGCTTCTGTACAAGATCGAACAGTACAACAACGACCCCGCTGTTCACGGCATTCTTGTCCAGTTGCCCCTGCCCAAGCATATTTCCGAGCATGCCATCACATCGGCCGTTGCCGATGAGAAGGACGTCGATGGCTTCGGCATTCAGAGCATTGGCGAGCTGGCCAAGCGTGGCGGCAAGCCTCTCTTCACGCCATGCACGCCCAAGGGTGTCATGGTGCTGCTGCAGGAGGCTGGAATCGACATCAAGGGCAAGAACGCCGTTGTGCTGGGACGTAGTGACATTGTGGGAAGCCCAGTCAGCTACTTGCTGAAGAACGCCGATGCGACTGTTACTGTGTGCCATTCCAGGACAGCCGACCTTCCAGAGGTTGTCCGTCGCGCAGATATTGTCGTTGCTGCTATTGGCAAGGCCCAGTTCGTCAAGGGAGACTGGCTCAAGCCTGGTGCCGTCGTCATTGATGTTGGCACAAACTTCATTCCTGATGAGACCAAGAAGAGCGGCCAAAGACTTGTAGGAGACGTCGACTTCGAGTCAGCCGTCGAAGTTGCATCACACATTACACCAGTACCAGGAGGTGTCGGACCCATGACCATCGCCATGCTGCTACAGAACCTGGTCGACTCAGCCGACGCGACCTTTGACAGAGAGAAGAAGCGCAAGATCACGCCTCTTCCTATCAAGATAGAAGATCCGATACCCTCGGACATTGCTATCTCGCGGAAGCAACATCCAAAGCAGATCACGGCCGTCGCAAAGGAGGTTGGCATTCTGCCCCACGAACTGGAGCCCTATGGTGCTACGAAGGCCAAGGTTGATCTTTCTCTGCTGAAGCGTCTCGAGCACCGTAAAAATGGCAAATATATTCTTATCGCCGGCATCACCCCCACGCCTCTCGGAGAGGGCAAGTCCACAACCACAATTGGTGTAGCACAGGCTTTAGGCGCGCACCTCGGCAAGATATGCTTTGCCAATGTGCGACAACCCAGTATGGGACCTACTTTTGGCATCAAGGGTGGTGCCGCTGGTGGAGGATACAGTCAGGTTATTCCTATGGACCAGTTCAACCTCCATCTCACTGGTGACATTCATGCCATCACGGCTGCGAACAACTTGCTCGCTGCTGCTATTGAGACGCGCATGTTCCACGAGAACACACAAAAAGATGCTGCACTATACAAGCGCTTGGTCCCAGCTAAGAAGGGCAAGCGTGAGTTTGTGCCTGTCATGTTCCGCCGTCTCAAGAAGCTTGGGATCGACAAGACGAACCCAGATGATCTGACCGAAGAGGAGATTACCAAGTTCGCCAGGCTAGATATTGACCCTGAGACTATCACTTGGAGGCGCGTACTTGATGTCAATGACAGACATCTACGCAAGATCACTGTTGGACAAGCACCCACCGAGAAGGGTCAGACTCGTGAGACTGGTTTCGATATCTCAGTTGCCAGTGAGTGCATGGCCATTCTCGCTCTTAGCAAAGATCTTTCAGACCTCCGCGAGCGCCTGGGTCGCATGGTCGTCGCCAGTTCCCGCGCTGGCGACCCCGTCACTTGCGATGACATTGGCGCGGGTGGCGCCTTGACTGCTCTGCTGGTTGACGCCATCAAGCCCAACATGATGCAAACCCTTGAAGGCACTCCTGTATTTGTGCACGCCGGCCCATTTGCAAACATTAGCATTGGTGCTTCTTCAGTCCTTGCGGATAGGATTGCGCTCAAGCTGGCTGGTACCGAGCCAGACGAGGATCACGATGCGCAAGCCGGGTTTGTCGTGACTGAGGCTGGCTTTGACTTCACCATGGGAGGTGAGCGCTTCTTCAACATCAAGTGCCGATCTTCCGGCCTTGTGCCCGACACTGTTGTTATTGTTGCTACTGTCCGAGCCCTCAAGAACCACGGTGGCGGCCCGGACATCAGCCCCGGTGCTCAGCTGCCTGAAGTCTACCGTACCGAGAACATTGACATCCTCCGCGCTGGCTGTGTCAACTTGAAGAAGCACATTGAGAACGCCAAGGCATACGGAGTTCCCGTTGTTGTGGCCATCAACCGCTTTGCTACCGATACCCAAGCCGAAATCGATGTTATCCGGGAGGAGGCCATTGCTGCCGGTGCCGAAGACGCCATTCCAGCCAACCACTTTGCCGAGGGCGGAAAGGGCGCCGTGGACCTTGCCCAAGGTATCATTGCTGCGTCGGCCAAGCCCAAGCCTGACTTCAAGCTTCTTTACGACACATCTAGCGGCACTGTGCAGGAGCGCATGGAGACGATTGCCAAGCGCATGTACGGAGCTTCTGCCGTCGAATTCTCTGAACTTGCACAAAAGAAGGTCGACACATACGTCAAGCAAGGATTTGGTAACCTGCCCATTTGCGTTGCAAAGACTCAGTACAGTCTTTCTCACGACCCAAGTCTCAAGGGCGCACCAACGGGCTTCACCGTCCCTATCAGAGACGTGCGCATGGCTGCAGGTGCAGGATATCTGTACGCGCTTGCGGCTGACATCCAGACGATTCCTGGTCTTCCCACTGCACCAGGTTATCTGAACATCGATGTCGACGTCGAGACTGGCGAGATTGACGGCATGTTTTAGACTCAGCCCGTCCTAAAAACAGCACAAATGGTGGATAAGACCATCACCGGGAAAAGCGTTCAACAAGCTTTTCTTTTTCTTCTTCAACCCAGAACAAGGAGGAAGGAAGATTTTCTGCATTTGGACGATGGGAGAAAACGGGGTAAATGGCGTTTTTTTCTTCTGCCTCTCTTTTGTTCTGGTTTTGTTTTCTTCTCTTTCTCTTTGGTTTTTTAATTCCAAATGTTCCCTTTGGTGTGTGTATACGGGGTGGGCGTCTGTCCAACAGGAAGAAAAAAAGAAGGGCTAGATTTTTCAACAAGTTCAAAGGGAAAAGGGAAGCAAGGGGAAAGGTTCATTCAACACTCAGATACACAGGCATGCATGCATGGAATTGTATGTATATGGGAAATATTCGGGGTAGCGTTGTTGGGATAAGCGATACTACTTTTTTCTGTCTTTACTACTCTTCGTTTTCGCTTTGCTCTCTAAGGATGAGAGAGTAGTGCTGATCGCACTTTTATATGATGACACCATGGATCATGAGTCTATCTTATACCAAATACGATACATACTTGGTTACCTTTTCTTCATAATGAGCAAACTTGTTATCAGGAAGACGAAAAAAAAATTTCAAGATTTGTCAATATCATTTCAAGAATGGGGGGACTAATAAGTGTAAAGTAAGTTAAGCGAAAGCACATCAGAATTACCATAACAACAACAACAACAAGAAAAGAAAGAAGAAACCCCCGCACCGAAACAGGAAAATGCATCTTGTCAACCGCTTTGTTCATTACAATAATCAACTTTATTCCACGGAGCCGGTGTTAAACAAATTCGGTTGGTGGCTATGCAAGCAAAGCATCAATGTCGAGAGCAAAAAAAAAGACTGTCTTATCAGTCGCCCCAAGTCAATAACGAACAAAGCAAGTTGGCTATTAACCAAAACACTCCATACTGGTATTTATATTTTTTTTGTTGAAGATGCGAATGGAAAACCCTAATAGCTGTCAAGGTCTTCTCTACATCATGCCCAGGTCGGACATGGCCTTGGCATATGTGTCCCAGTCGGTCAGAGCACCGAGAGCACGACGTTGGTGTGCGCTGAGGAGCGTGAGGCCATAGACATAACTCGCGTTGACCCATCCGAAACTAAAATGTATTATTAGCATATCCTTTCTTTTTCATCATATCAATGGTCACGAGTGCAATACGTACCCTTCGCGAGGAACGCCCTTGAAGTCACTGCCCTGATTGCCATATTCAGCCTCGACCTTGTGCGGGTCCACCTTCCTTGTTACGTCATACTTTTCAACGACAACACCGTTGAAGTCGACAAAAGCCTTGGTGACCATGAACAGCCAGCGGTAAGCCAGACGCTGGGCCTCAACATCATAGCCGTACCGCTGCATACCAACCCAGGCGAGCATCTGTTGTGGAGCCCAGCCAAAGGGGTAGTCCCATTGTCGGTTAGGGCGGTCAATACCGACCTCGCCACGCGATCTCTCCGAACCCGAAACAAGCCCACCAAAGGCTTCAAGCTTAGGCAAAGCCTTTTCGACAAGGATACTAGCTTGGCGAGGCGTGGCAAGTCCAGACCACATGGGCCAGAACGTAGTGGCACTTTCGTAGCCTGTACGTTCACGCTTGACCGTGTTGTAGTCAAAATACATGCCGGCTTCCTCGTCCCAGAGATACTTGTCGACCTGGACACGTCGCTTTCTAGCGCGACGCTCCCATGCTGCAGAATTCTCAATATGACCAGGCTTCATATCGCCTGTGCAGAATTCCGCTGGAATCTCAAGCTTGTCTCCGAAATGGTTGCGAATGCATCGACCGATATCAACTTCGTACTTGTATAGCAGGGCATTGATGTCGACAACTGCAAGATCTGCAGCAACCTTCTCAAGACGGTAGGAAGTGTCGTGACCAGACTCGCGCACGGCACGGTCATGCAGGAAATAATCATCCAATTCAGGCTCGTGCACGCGTTGGTAGTTGTACGCCTCAACAAACTCGTGGAAGGACATTCCATGTTTGTCGGCATACGGCTGCAAGATGTGCTCAAAATGGGTGGCTTCCGTCTCCGGAGGCACACCCAAGCCAGTAGGTCGGTACCTGGTCAAGCCAGTCTCGGGATCATAACGAGGCGGGCTCATCCAGACTGAGTTATACTCCTTAATAGCAGCAAGAATGGCCTCGCGCAGAAAGTCGAGCGCACCAGGTTCATGCTTGATGCGTTCATAGCAGCGTAAGGCCATGTCGGTAAGAAAAGGTGGCTGGGAACGACAGAGGTAGTATGTGCGGTTTGCGTTGAGAATCTTGTTGTAGTGCTTGATGCAGAAGCAGAAATGGGTAACCATGGACTTGACCAAGTCGATGCGGTCATTGACAAGCAGGCCGAGTGAACACATGTAGCTGTCCCATCCATAGATCTCATTGAAGCGGCCACCCGGGACTACAAAAGGTAATCCTCTCAAGTCTTTCTTGTTGGTTTCAGGATCAATCCATTCCTCCATGGCAATGGCAAGCAAACCAGGGGCTTTGTTCAGATCGCGCACATATGTAGGGTCGTCGCAATTCTGTGGTAGCCAGATGACTTCAAGGCGCATATCGGGATGCTCGCGGGCAATGCGTGTGTAGTACTCATACTGTTCGGGAGCGCCCTGGGGAATGTATACACGAGGATGTGGATCGTCAGTCCAGTCCTTGGGGTCGACGGCGACCTTTGCAATATTGGAGCCATCGATACGGCGAGTCAGGCCATCCCAGAAGGAAAACTGGATGAGGCGACTGAGGCGGTTCACCGGGTTTTCATTGAGACGCGATTCGTCGAGGACAATGGTCTTGCGGCCGTAGTCTTTGGCGAGGGTGAGCTCCTGGAGCAGATTGGAGAGCATGTATGTGCCGCGGACATCGTGCTTTTTGAAAGCATTGGAGCCCAGAGTACCGAGAGATAGGGTCTACGTATGTGTCAGCCATACTGCATGTATATGTATAGAGCAGAAGAAAGGGGCTTATGGCGTACCTTGGGGCCCTTGTCTTCAATGGTGATTTGGTAGTTTTGGTCAGAATCCTCACGGGCGAGAAGCTGGGCGAGGGTCTCGTCGACGTTGATCTTGAAGCGGCGCGGCTGCAGCGAAGCCTCATCTAGAGGCATTGTCAGCGCGTGGCCAAATATATGTGCTGCCGTAGTACGTACCGTGACTGGTGCGGCGGCCGGCAGGAATACCCTCGCTCAATGGGGCATTGCGGGTGGATTGGTCTACGTTCTGCTTGGTGTGAGCAATGTAGACAATGGGATGAGGGGTGGCAGGCAATGCTCACAGCCGAGTAGGTTCTTGCCCTGGGATGTTTTTGCGAGTGACTCTCGCCATAGTAGATGTGCGGCGCAGCGTACGGGTCAGCCACAGACGAGGTTCGGCGAGGCTTCAAGGGTTGCGAGCTCATGCTATGGGGGAGGGAGGAGGGAGCCACCGATGGAGCGGGAGGAGCGGAGTATGAGAGCGGGAGGGTTGGGGTTGAGGGCTGGGTGGCGGTGGTGATGATGGAGATTGCTGGAACTGTGAGAGTGAGAGCGTGGGAGAGCTATGGCGTATGTACTGGGCCAAAGTTAGCTGAGACGCTCAATGCGGCCGGACTGGGGTGGGGGCGGGGCGGGACGTCTTGGACGAGGACGGGTGGAGGGCATAGGGGCGACGGACCTTGTGTCAGCGGGCAGAGCGGCGTCAAGGGGAGAGATGCAGGTCTGGTAGGGGCGGGGGAGGAGGGAGAGAAGGGCAGAGTGACCTGGGGCGGCGAGCGAGGCAGTTTTGACTGACGACAGCCGGCAGGTGCGCCGATGGCTACAGAGGACATCACGGCAGGCGTCAATGGTGGGTCTATCTTTGCTCAGCACGCACGATAGCACGATAGGGACCAACAGGGCCAGGCGGTGAGGGCGCTGCATTGTGCCAAAACCCACGCGTGGCATGGGCTGCTGAATGTGTGTGTATGTGCTCTCTCATCCAGGCACGCCCGTGGGGGGGGGGGAGGCGGCGGCGGCGGCGGACGGAGCAAATGGTAGCTGGGCACACGCCCGAGTACTGTACTTGTCGTTCCGTTCCGCGCCATGTTTTCTGTCTCTGGCGCCTCTTGTGCCTCGCTGCTTATCGTCGTCTTGGTCGTCGTTTCCCTCTTCATGATCGTCGCTTCCCTCGCCCTCCCCGTCGCTCCTGCCCGCTAAAGCTTCCATGGCCAGCAGCAACCCCACTGTTACGTCATGCCCATCCTCAGTTCCTCTCCTCTCCCCTCTCAGCGTCTCGTCTCCGTGTCTCGCATCCTGCAGCTTCAATGCCTCTCCTCGGCCATTGCACTTTTTTACCTTTGGTTTTTTATCCCGACCCTTGCTGCAAGCCTCTTTTCCCCGACAGCGCCTCATGCTGTGACTGGCTCGGCTGCGAGTTGCCCGGTCACCGGTACTCTCCCCGCATGCATCCCACGTCCAGGATCCCACCCTATCGCCTCTCAACCCCCAACGCCGGCTCTCCAAGCGTCTCCGCTTGTACCACTGGAATTTTAATCATCATCTGTGTCGGAATCACGCTCATGTTTGGTTTGGTTTGGTTTAGTTTGGTCTGGTGGTTGTTTTGCTCTTGCACAAGTTTGATTGATGATCCGCGCAGGCTCGCTGAGCCGCGTTCGGAGGTTATTACTCCCTATAGTAGTACTGCTGATGACTGGTCGTGACTTGATCTACTAGACGACAATTTGTCCATGACTTTTTTCCCTCAAACAAATGAAAATGGCAGGTGGCAGTCCTGCACTGTGCGCAATCCTCAACGCCCCAACACCTTCGCTAATAAAACGATCAAAGAAACAAACATTAATGACGAGTAGGCGAGCGCCTGCTACTGTCGTCCCACTCAAACATCGAGCTTCTTGGCTGCGTTCTTTCGGCTCTTCCTCATGCTTCTCCAACTCCACTTGCTTCCTCGTGTCGCCTCTTGCAGCTGTGCAGGGCTCAGAGTAGCAGAGTCGGGTCGCGGGCTGTCATTGTTGCTGCTTGTGCAGCTGACTGACCCGCTCTCGAGTGATGTCGCAATGGATGCTGTTCGTCGGATCTCAAAGGCATCTGCGCTCTCATATCGTCGCAGCTTGGACTGTGGTCGGCTGGGTAGAGGCTCTTGGAGTGCGAGGAAGCCAGAGGCAAAGCATCCGCCATAGGCCTTGAGCACCTCCATCGAAGCTGCTTTTCGAAGAGCCATTCGCTTTGTTTGCGAGCTTGCATCTTCATCATCAGACTCCTCGAGATCCAAGTCGTATCGGTAGTACTGTTGAGGCTCTAGCATGTAGCAAGCACTGTCCGCCTGGAGAAAGAGTTAGATTTTGATTCTTGAAAGCGCCATGTTGAGGGGAAGGTCCGAGTGCTTACCTTGACATGTGTTGGGCTATGTGTTGAGGCATATGTGGAGCCATGTGATCGCAGGTTCTCCTCTGTGAGCTGGGCTTGCTGGAAGCAGACGTCCCAGTTGGGTGTGTGTCCAAGATTTTGGTACATGTTTGCTGAGTATGTGATTGTGGGTATATTGGGAGAGAGAGAAAGTGTTGGTCAAGAAGAAGTGGCAGTGGCAGTGGCGGTAGTAGTGGTGGTGATGATGGTAGTGGTGGTAGTGGTGGTAGTGGTGGTAGTGGTGGTGGTAGTAGTAGTAGTAGTCTTGTGATGGCTGTGGTGGCTGTTGCTGTGGTAGTAGTGGATGCTGTCTGTGTAGTCGTGGTGTGAGTAGTGTTGAAGGCTAGGGCGACCAAGTGTTATATACCAGCAACGGACTCGACATGTTACCCAGCTCTCAGGATGGTACCCACCAGACCGAGCGCCATAGCGCCGCACTCGCCGATGGAGTCCAGGGACCAGGGTGGTGACAGCGCCCCCAAAACGTGGTACATGGCTGCGGCTCTACCGTTTCCGTCATCACTCGTGCTTTGGGCAGATCAGTACTCGTTGCTTTTAGCTGCCGTCGACGCAAGGACCCCACGGCAGATCCTGGTGTGCTGAACCAAGGGGCTGGCTGCCCTGCACGCCTCAGCTCCACACTCGACATGGCCAGGGCGGCCACCCTCTCACACAGCCTATCACTCGCTCTCGCTCTCGCGTACCCATGCCCTGACCCCTCCTGTCCAAAAGTTATTCGCACACGCCGATCAGCCGCGTTTTGGAACTTGCCCTCAAACGCCTCAGCCGCTTCATCTCAGTCGTCCACGTCGTCGTGGGAGAGAGCAGGCTTCAGGCATGCAAGTAAATACACACAACCCTGCCCCTCACCTCAGGCCCCAGGCCCCAGAGCCTAGAACATGGGCCTCACCGCGTGTTTGCCCTCTGTCCGAGTGTCTCGAGACGGTGTGTGTCTTTTGTGTGTGTGTGTGTGTGGTGGTGTGTATGTGTATATGGGTGTAGTGTGTATATTCGCATCCAAACCATATCCATCCATGAATCCTGACGACAAAACAAAAGGGCCATGCATCATGGTCGGTACTATGCGCAGGCGCAGTGCAGCGTGGGATAGTGAACCTCACCGCCTGCTTGTCCACGCTGTGCAGCGCGCCTAGCACGAGATCTGCCCCCTCGGTCTGCCCCAGGCTAATCATCTACTATCCAAGGTTGCCAAGCGAGACCAGATGCTAATTTGACAGCTGTCGCAAAAAGCAATGAACTGCTTAGCGCAACGCGCCCCATGCGCCGAACGATGGATTCGCTACCTTGCTTGCATCGTGATCACAGGATCACGTCCAAATCAAAGGGAGTATCTGCTGCGATGCCAGATCAGGCTACCATGCAGGTACACGAATGCTTGACTGGGGCCCATGCTCGCCATCTCCACCAATCCACACGGGCACCGCGTGCCTGGCGATGAGTAAACACACACACAGACACCTCATGATTGCTATCACCACCCTCACCTCTATCCCGAACTGGTTCGCTCCAAGTATCGTCCCCTTAGTCAAGCAGGCGGCACAACGCTGCATCCGAACAGGCACAATCCCCAGGCGACCACTATGCAACCACTGCCACTGCCACTGCAACGCTGCTCTCGTCGACCCAAGCAGCGACTGCGCTCAGCTTGCCCCAAGAAGCACCCCTGCACTAGCGCCGCTGCTTCGGGCCTGGCGCTCATCACCTTGCATACACCAAATGTTATTACATTCGCTGGCTTCATTGTCCACGTCTGTAACCCCAGGAACACGTTTTGCCTTGGTCCCAATCATCTTGTAACCCCAGGGGCTGGATACCACATTACGCCATGCGCCTCTTCACGCACCACATACCTCTTGCTCGCATCTTGTGTAATCTCGGCATCAAGCCAGTAGACAATCAGACAGCAATACCCGTGAGACAAACAACCCCCCCAGCCCCGTTTCACTTTGAACAAGACGTCCACCAACCGCCAACTCTGAATCCGTTTCAGTACGGCGCGCACGTGTCTGTACTTGGACAACTCCACAATGCCACTGTGTACTGCAATGCCAGCCCCGCTCCCGTCATCGTCATCGCCACGTAACTCACAGCCTGAGGCCGAGCGGTGCCATACACCTGCGCTTCTTGGTGTTGTCTGCTAGGCAATATTGTGCGGCCCGCAACCCAATAAAGGCGTCGCCGACCTTCAGGCATCGTTTCCAAATCTCTTGCAGCGGTCACAAGCTCCACAAAATTTCTCCCCCACACATGAGCTATGCCCAATGGATAAAGGAGCATTCGCGTTCGGGCTCTTGCCGGCCTCGGACTCGATGAGAACCACCGCTATCTCTTGTCAACTCCCCATTCAGATCAGAAATTGCATCCCGTATGACTCGCAACCCTGGCCCGGATCAACCAGTCCCGCGGCACAGCCCTGAAATCCCAGATCGCCGAATGAGATCTGTGGGATTCCGCCCCCAGTACACTCGTAAATAGAATCGCTGCCTGACATCTTACCCACAGCAGTGGTTGCTGTCAGATCACCCGCTCCGTACAACCATACCCATATCTCACTATGACGTCGTGACCTCCAAGAGCAGCAACAGCCTGCCCATTCAGGGCAAGCGGAGTAAAGGGGAACCATGTGGCACACCCACTTCTACCTGTCTTCTACGCATGTCTGTATGCCCAGCAGTCAGGGCGGTGGCGCTGAGCACATCAACACCAGCCCACCATACAAAAAAGCACAACCAGGCACCAGCAGTATCACCGCAACACGGCCGTGACCACGTCTCGTTCCTCTCGTCTCGTGCAAGCTGGTGTCTCAAAACTTCACACCGGCCCTGAGGCTAGAAAGATCAATGACAAAAGACAAAAAAGAAAAAAATACGAGGCAGGGTCACCAAGTGCATTTCTTTTCTTGACGACCCACCGCTTGTTTGGAGGTCAAGCTCGTCATCACCAACTAGCAAAGTCGTTCCTGAATCTTGAAAGCTTTGCAAACACGTCGCGCAATTCCATCATACTTCCTTGCACGCGCCACTAGCGAATTGTACCGAAGAAGGGCAGAATACAACCAATAAAATTCGTGAGGCTACATGCATTGGGTATCAAAAAACACCGCCAAAGTCCAGGCCGTTCCAAATAGCTTTCCCTCAACAACACATCAGCAAACTCCCCCCAGACCAGGGCTCCACAAATGCCCGCCTTCGTTTCACTTTCCTCTTACTCTCTTCTGTTGTGAGGCGTCAGTACAGGCTAACTCGTACACGGCTTCGGCAGTACCCAGCGTACTACTGACCATGCTATTGCCGGAAAGCTTAGGGTAAAAGCTTGGTCTTTTTATGCAGCCCGACTATACACTTCAGCCACATCTGCGAGCCATTGGTCTAGATGGCGTCGAAAGTGCAAATGGGGGTGTGGTATATGCCAACGGTAATGCATTTTGATTGCTATGGCGAGCAGTCGAGTTCGCTATCGGAAACTGTAGTGAAAAAATTCTTTTCAGGTGGCAACGTGTAGATGATAACTTGGTCGGATATGTTCCGATGAGGGTTGAGATGGTATAGGCCTTGGTGAGAGAGACGTCGTGTGTGATTTATATCAACATCATCGCTGATATCTCATGACATGAACACCAAGTTTGCAGTTCCAAGTGGTAACACAGCATGATCAAGTTGCTGTTGCTGGTCTTGCATGCGCGCGTGTGGTGTGATGCGCTCACGATACCCGATAATTATCCGGAAAGGAGCAAAGGTCACACCACAAGCCCCCGGAAGTCGCCGTCAACCTTGGCGCCACCATTCATGTGAATTATCCGGATTCGTTATCGGCGTAAAAAGTCTCGAATCACAGCCTCGTATTCACTTGACCACCCTGATCTTCTGGTGTTCACACTATGTTTCTCTCACCATGTCACCGCCTCCTCCCCTCCTCCCCCTCCTTTTTACCCCCGCCTTGTCTTAACCGAAAACATTTTTGACCAAAAAAAAACCCTTCGCTTAAAAAATCCTAATTGGTATCTACCAGTCACAAAGAACAGCCATATGAGGATGAACATGGTAAGGGCACACTGAGCCAGTGCGTGCGCCCTTTAGCGAACAGAAGCGGAGGCCATAGACGCTGAGGCGAGAAGAAGAAAGCCTCTCACCAATTGCCCGCTGAGCATCTAGACGCCATGAAAACAAAAAAAACAGACTCAACCCCTTGATACCTCGGAAAATCTGTAAATGCGCAACGGGAATTTCTTCCACAGTAGGGGGTCTGTGCGTGGAAGGGCCAGAAAAAATGAGTTAACACACATCTCCGTGGAGACTCGACACACGCACGCACACACACACACACACACGCACGCACGTACGCATAGCACACAGACACACCAACCAAAAGTACTGCTGCTTTCCGACGGCAGCCTGGACGAAATGATAAAATATTCTTTGTAATTCGTGACACACGCGACCCTCCCTTTTGCTCACACCGCAACCGAGGATCCCAACGCAAAGAAAACCAACACTTAGCCTGGCCACGCGCAAGAAGACACGAGCCAGATGGAGGTGTCTTTTTTCCCTTTCGCCAATGGAACGAGAGAAATCCGAGAACGAGAGAAACAAAAAGGGTTTATTGGCCAGACCCGGTTTGCCCTTCAGTGCGCAAGATAAACGAGGTCCACGATTGAAAAAAGATTCCAAATCGCGTTTTTCCTTTTTTTCCTTGTTCGTTCGTGAGTCTGGATGCTTTCGTCGTGACGATGATGATGGAGAGTCTAGACCGCAGGTATAGTTTTTTGTATCACTACACTTATCTTTGATGCGATAACAAAAAGGAGGAATGCAAAAGCGGTAGGTCTAGAACTTTTGTGACTGTAGAAAGGCGACAGGAAATTAGTCTTCTTTTGCAAAATATGTCTCTTACTTTCAAACAAGACTGCTCCAAATGCGCTTCATATGGTGCAACTTGCTCTTGCTTTCTTTCTTCTCTCCCTCTTTCTCGCTACTCTCTTTTGCATCTTGCTGCATTTGGCGCTGGGCCGGTGATAACTGCGGTTGTGGCGACAGCACAGTAACGAGCGGCGTCGTGACATTCGGCATCTGGGCCTCGGGCTCCATACTATCGCGTCTGGATGCCGGTGATGCGACAGCGACAGCGACATGCGGCTGTGCAGGAGCAGGCGAGATAGCAGGAGAAGCAGTGTTGCGTCTACTACTACTACCATCATCTTCTCGCATGCGAGCACTACATTATATTTTTAGCGCAACAAAAAAAAGAAGAGACGTTAGTTACCGCTTTTAAGCAAAACCTTCTTACACATACACTTTAGCGTAACGCGTGCGCTTTCTCTCTCTCTCTCTCTCTCCACACGAAATGAATCGTTACCAAAAAAAGGGGGGGAGGGGAAGCGCAACCCACTAAACTTAACCCCATATATACGCGACCTAAAACCGTCGCCTACTCTGACTCGCACAAAGAAAAATCCCCGAATGTCATGGAAAGATAGTGCAGTAAAGGAAATGCAGACCACTTACACTAAATCATGACTCCACTTCTTCCTCTGTCCTGTATAATTCATCATATGCGCCCCTCCTTCCCCTCTTCCTCTTCCTCTTCCTCCTGCCATCGCTACCCCCTCCACTTTCGCCTTCCCCTTATCAACCCTCCCATTCCGCTCCCGCCGCGGATACTCGTGCAACTCAAGTGGCGCGCAACGCAATCGCGCGGGTCCGACGCACGGATTCGAAATACTCGAGTAGTGTGTAAATGGGGGCGTGGGTGATGCGGGGCGTTTGTGGGTCAAGGAAGACGGACCGGCGATGCAGGGGTTTGTGCAGCATGTTTGCGAGCAGGTGGAGGTTGAGGTTGAGGGGGGTGGTGAGGGGATGGGGTTGGGTGGCTGGAGAGGTGGGTTGTTAGTTTTGTGTGATATTGAGAGTTTTTTCCGACATGGGAATTTTTTTGATCGGTAGGAATTTATGAGTCCCGTCCCGTCGAGTTGATTAGATATTTTCCGTCCTTTGCAAATCTCCACGTGGATGAATTTTCCGTCATGCATGTAGTAATCCTCCGTCTTCTGCATTGCGTTTTTTTTTGCCTTCCCGCGATTTTTTTTCTACGCGGTTGCGACGGGTAAACTTTTTTTCGCTCTCGCTTACCTTCTTTGTGGTGTTTGTCCGTGGAGTCATCGGTGTTGCTCCGAGTGTAATTTTTTTACTGTGTGTGGTTTCTTTTTTCCCCAGTCGTTTACGCGTTTGTTTTTGACGTTTGGGTAGTGTTGCGGGGGATTCATGTATCGGTGAGGAAGAACATGTCTAAAGTGTTGTAAAAAGAATCGATGCTGTCGCCTAATTGTCTATCCATCATATCTCTCATTATTTTGCGATTCATTGTCGTGGTACCGTGTTTGCTGTAGCGAACAAATGGCTCGATTTTGGTTTGCTTTTGCATGTGACTGGATTCGCTGGGTTGTGTTGTCAATGGTGCGGCTGGGTGCTTTTGATGGGAAGAAGACTGGGCATAATGTGTGTGGAAGGAAAGATGTCATAACAGTGGTGCTGATTCGCTCATGCATGGGAATCACAACGGCATCCAAACCCAGCGAATCAGACTTTAGGATCTGTACATGACGTGGGTGTTGTGTGAAGCTTTCTTTGCAACCTCTACCTATTGGTGTGCCACCAAATTGTGTATCACTTGGCCAATCTGTTGTTGCTACCCATGTGTAGGAAGTGCTACGACGCTTTAGGACTTCCAATAACACCGCATCCCTAATCGGGGCATGTCATGTGGTTCTGATGGACGCCATATCCCTTCTTTTTGCTTTTTTTGCTGATGATCTCATAGACATCGATCGATCTGTACTCGCGATTGAGACAGCCCCCACCCCCAGCGATGCCTGAGTACGTGAGAAACAGGTTTACAGGGCATCGGAATCGAAGCCCAAGTGAAACAGTCAATACTTATACGTATACACCCATGCGATAATTCTTTTCGACTGGAAAGGGGTATCTCTCAGAAACTGTGCCAGACATCGTCGCGATCTGGTCCCAACCCAACCACCTCTGCCTCAACTCTTACCCCACACCGCACTACAACTCAACTGCTTCGCACCACGACGCACAAACAATCGTCTAAGAGCATCGACGCAGTTCACCGTTAAGAAATCTCCGGTCCGCTTGTCAGTATGACGGGAAAAGGCGGTTTACATGTGTGCTTCTTGTCATCGGGATCGAAGAATGGAGTGATCGAGATCACTTTGGGACCACCAATCTGATTTCAATATACGCCTTTACGCCGCAGGATCTGCGAACATCGGAATCGTTGGCAGTTGTGAAACGGGCGTTCCCTTGTTACTCACACTGCAATAGCGTTCGAGTATAGTGTGGCCTTCAATGTGCTTCTTATCATCGAGATCGAGATTGCTTTGTAGCCACCCACTACACCTCTATAACGCCTTACAAGGTACATCATCGGGATCGTACACCACCTTTGAAACGGGAGTTTCCTCCTCGGAGAGTGGGTATTGCAATGACGTGGATGTGTATCGCGGTCTACAGGGTACATGGCATTCTCATCGAGATCGCATTCTACACCTAGGTGTAGACGGACAATCAGCCACCCCTTTGTGTCCGAAATTCTTCGCGATCTACACCCTTCGGCATCGTTTGACAGTGCGAAACGGTCCGTAGTACACAGACTGTTATGACGTGGATGGGAATGCTGTGGATTGCCAGTCACTTGGGTGTAGATAACATCGAGATGGTAAACTTCTCGGCCTAATCACAATGTCACGATAACGATCCAACAGTCTTCGGGCATCGAGATCATGGGTCTTTGTGAAACTTTAGCCATCCTTCAGACTGATTCGTACTAGGCAGCATGTCAGGGTGATTATCACAATTGGGCATCTCCACTCCAATCCATGCAAACACCAAGAAAGACTCAGCCAGTATAGTATGGATTGGACGAACAGTCCGTTGGGTCGCAAGCAACGACAAGACCAGACTTGAGAAAATGCATAATCTATCACACTCCATACCCTGTATGCCAGCTGCATAACTTGGGCTTGCTCAACGCCTACAGCCTTCGTTAAACCACGCGGCAGGACAAGCCAGAGAATTGAACCCTTCACCCCCTTTCGCCCTCGCAAAGCCATGACAACCAACCGATCTGATCAAATGAGAGGAATAAAAACTGGGCCTGCGCCTCTATATTGCTTTCCTGATGCAAGATGTAATTTCTTGTTTTCTTCTAGTGCAGAGCAGGCATAAAGTTCGAAACAAGGTACTTTTCTTTTGCCAGACCAACAGACCCTCTCACCCAAGATTGCCGGCCGTACGTACGAAAGCAAGAGAAAAACAAAGGAATAGTCAGGCACACAGACACACCCACACCCACACCCATACATTAGCAGCTGTTTGTGCATTGCGCTAACAAGGCTGCATGCTAAATCGCTCACTAGCGATGGGGTGGGCCGTCGCTTACTATCCGCTTACCGGATCTTTTAGTCTGCAGACCCTCAACCCATCTCATCCTTCGCTCTCTTTGCAAGTGGCTGTCGATCATCCCACCCCCCTCCAGCCACAGCCACGTCAAAGGATGATCTGCGGCTAGACAAAAGGCCCATGCGCGTGACTACACCTTTCGTTTAGTTCGGAGACTTGTGCAGCGGGGACAGCCACGACGAACAAGGAGGGTGAGGGTAAACCTTTAGAGTTTTTGTGCCTGCTTTTTGTCTGTTGTGTCCGTGCCCTTTTGCATTGCATGATGGAATATGTTTTGTGACCACATTTCATGTCTTACGGGATCGACATCGTGACTTTTAACTCGCTCTGCGATGAACATGGTGGTTTACCTTTCTTTCTTTTTTGGGCCTTTGGGGAAGTTTTTTTGTTGCTCGGTGTGGGTCCGATTGCGAGGTAACATCATAAAATATACAAGGCGGTGAAGATCGTGCATATGAGGTTCCTTGGGATGGAGGGAGAACGTGAGGCTGGTCGGCACAAGGTTGATGCTATCAAGATATGGGGGAGGGTGGATGGGTGGGTCGTGTGGGTGCTGAATGCCTAATTTTGTCTTGTTGGGGCAGTGGGGATGTACACCAAGTCTTTGAAGTGTAGGGAGAGGGAGGTCACGAGTTGGTGTTGGACATGATCACTTGGTACCTGCAATCTCTTTTGCTCATTCCAAACTTCTTGCTCGCATCGAGTGCACATCCACCGGTGATGATTTCTAATCCTTTTACCACATCTTCGAAGTCTAAACACGCAATTCCATGCCATCTTCCCAGACCTTTTCGGACACAATTAACCTCTATGTATGTACAATCTTCATGTCTTAAAGGTTTAGTTCAGCTCTATTACATATCTCCTTCGAGGGTATGCTCATCTCAGCTTACGGCCCATCTTTCCGAGACTTCTTGGAATCCCTCGGTGAATTATCTACGTCATCGACCTTGTACTGAAGATCTATGTTTACTATCTCGTCCTTGCCTGGCTGAAAATCCATCCTCTTCATTATCTTTTCTTCATCTTTTTTGCTCAAAAGGAGAAAGCAAAAGATTCAGGTGTACGGATGGTGTGTAACTTCAGCCAGCCATATCATCTTTCATGTTGAGATCACCATGGTGGTTCCTGCTAGACTTTTACGTTGAGCAGACTATTATAGTATCTGCCTTGGACTAATTTCTGCTGCGTTTGTTGGTACAAAAAGACATAGTCGATATTAGCGATGCAGTGGCCTTGCAGTAGTCACTCCCGAATCGTGAGTGAAACATTGTTCACGGTATCTTGGTTAAAAGCTAGTATTACCCCTGAAACCGTCTTTCTTGACCTGACATCCTTGATCGTCGCGTGTAAGAATACCTGTGCGATTTCGTATACAGGTACTATGCGCCTTCTCACACCTAAGTCTCCATCAGCTTAGGCATCCTGAATGCAAAGTAGCGAAGCATTATAACTGCCATGGACTTGTCAACATGTTGCTAGATAGAACTGTATTATCGCCAGTGTGAAATCTGGTGAAGAATTGCAGCTTCGCGAATTATTGTTAAACATGGATGTGATGAAGGCAGATAGCGGCCTGGTAGGATATACTACTTTAAAAGGCATTCTCAACCCCTTTTCGAATACATTTAGGCCATTGATATAGGTATATGGTGCCATCAATATTCTACTATCTGATACTCAAGTTCAACTTGCAGTGAGTATGCACCTTATGAGCAGAGATACTACCCGTACTTGCGAAAGTACAATTCATATTCTCTTCTCTTGTTCGATAAATCACTCTTACTACCCACTGCCCGCTAAATGAAAATCCCAGTCACACGATACTAGATATAAGTAAGCCACATCATACATCGTGGTGCTGCCCTGCTTTGCGATTGAGTTCAACATTGGAATTGTAAAAGGCCATCACAACTTCAAAAAACACAACGTTTTATGCAACGAGCTGAACTTTCCAGGTTCCTACATTTTAAATAATGTTCGCAACAATAACATACCAAGGTTGTTTCTATGAAGCCGTGAGCTTCCCATGCATTCTGCTCATCTCCCCATCTTCTCTGCCTCCATCGTTACTCTTGGGGACTCATTTCCCCAACTCTTCCCCGATTATCAGTAGAGCGGTATCGTGATGCGTCATTTATATAACATTATGACGACATCAAAGTGCATTGTAACTATCTTGCATTGTCACCGAGCTCTCAGCATGTGAATGTGCCGATGCTACAGTATCATCTTCTCCAAAGGTGGGGTAAAAAAAGTGGGAGAGAAAGAGAGAAGGTGGGGTCGTGCTTACAACCGAAACAAAATCAGTGTAAATTTAATGAGAGCCTTCGATACGAGGCAGCTTGTGCCCATGAAAACGAAACAGGAATATGTCGGTAACCCATGTTCGACTGGCATGAAAAATGACTGATTACTATTCATATCCTGTGACTGCGATTCAGAATACGCCGAACTGTTCCAACGTGCCCAGGAAGGTTTTGCCACCATCGGATGGGATGAGCAAACCCCCCTGTAATCCATTTTGGGACAAGAATACGGAAACGGGCAACCATCGATCTACAAAAGATTGTCCCTATTTTCCAAAAGGAGGCGGAACCCGCGGCTCAGCCAAGTACTGGCTCGCCCCACATTTCCCCAACTCTCAAATGTGGGGAAAAGACGACAGGGTTCGGTAACACTTGCGATTTGCTCGTTCGGAACGCATGCGCGCCAAAGATCGCAGATTGCCCGATGGATTCCTGATTGCTGGAACGATAGAGTTTCGGACCCTTTGATTGAAGTTGCAATGGGATAAAAGTTGTGCATGGTATAATATTACTTGCATAAAGTATTCACACTACACCAAAGAATCTAGTCGTGTTCGCCGGATCATTTTCCCACTCAGTGTCGTGGGCAAAGATTATCTCAACCCCTTCCTTCTCCAAAATCCGAATTCTTTCGATAGTTTCCTCGGCTTGCTTCCGATCGGCATGTATGCAGCAGACTTGGCCATGTGCATCGTTCCATTCGCCAATCTTCTTTTCACCGGTCAGTATTCTCCTATCGTGACAGGCATCCCCGCCCATGTAGATCCGGTGGCTCGTAGAAGTCCTTGCCAAAATATTGATATGTCCGAGGAGATGTCCAGGTGCGTTTACGATTAGAAGGGACCCGTCGTTGAAAAGGTCTAGAACTTCCGGGAGACAGTCTTGACTTTGCCATGACCCATGGAGATTGATCTCCCCATAGATTGTGCCCGAATCGTGCTTCTTCAATCCATGCACGATGGGTTCGGGTAGTTCCACGGTCCGACCCTTCGGCAAGAGGTCGCTTTCGAAGAAGGAATGGCCGCCTCGGAGTGAAGAAGAAGCGCCGCTGAGCAGAGTGACTGCGCCATGTCCGACGACGAAAGTTGAATCTGGAAAGTCTCGAGGCTCTCCGACATGGTCCCAATGTACCTGACACAAGTAAGTTACTCGTTGTCCACCAGCGTAACTCTATTAATCTGTACTTACATGTGAGTAAATTACATAGTCAATGTCCTTTGGTGTAAGTCCGCCCTTCGCGAGGCTCTTGGTGACGTCCGGATCAGTGCTCATTGGCTGCCTGGTGTCGATATGTTTCTGTATCGGCAGCGGATAGCGCTTCACGTCTCTTCTCAAGCCTAGATCGAAGATGAGTCGTGTTCGTTTTCCGGTATATTGATTCACATGCTGAATCAGGAATGCTAACGAAGGAACAGTTCGACGAGCGTCGGGCGTAACATGATCCACAAACTGGTATTCTGGGAGTGCAAAATGGCCACACGATAGAGCATGAACTGAAACGACAGCTGTCGATTCAAGCTGAAAGCTGTGATATGTGTTGTCAACAATCATATTCTCCCAGGAATTAAAGAGCCAGTTTAATTAGCTTGCCGACGTATCGGAATCTTGTGCTCTTATTATGAGTATTGCTTTTTCGTTGTTGTCTGGTAGAAAACAACAGGACACAACACGGCCTTATGTGAACAGAAACACGGACAAATATCGCACAGGTGATCATTCCTTCATCTCATCTGTTCCACAAGTGGTGGTGTGTGCGTCAGGGTTTGCGTATAATGATGTTGGGGAAGCTGATTGAAACAGAATGTTGGAGAACTGTGCCCCACCTTGTTAATTGCGAGCCAGCCACTACGAGTTAGGTAGGTGGGCGTACGTATTGTGTTGGGTTCCCAGCAAATCCTCATCATTACACCAAGCTTCGTTATCTAACGCGATATAAGTGCCAGAAATTTATGACTGATCGAATTTGACACCCAGCCCTCCTGCAATTCCTACCGTACGCGAACAAAATGCCGCAACCATACGATTTCAACAAGCTCGGCTTCATTGGACTGGGTGCTATGGGAGCACCGATGTTGTCCCACCTGGCTAAGAAGCTGCCAGAAGATTCGCGTATATGGGTCTATGATGTTGTCGAACAAGCGGTAGACGACATTTGTGCCGAGTTTCCCAATAGAGTGTTGAAGGGAAAGAACGCTAAGGATGTCGCACAACAAGCCGTATGCTGAGCCTAGAACGCGTGCAACCGTCACTAATCGATAAGCAGGACACAATTATCACAATGGTACCCGAGGGTGCGCATATACGATCTGTATATCTCGACCCCGACAATGGCGTGTGTAGTACGAATGTCTCGAACAAGCTACTTCTCGATTGCTCGACAATTGATACAGCAACAAGTCTGGCAGTGAAAGAACATGTTACGAATCATTTCCCTTCGGCAGCGTTCTATGATGCTCCAGTTAGTGGCGGTGTGGTGGGCGCAATCAAAGGCACAATCGCTTTCTTCCTAGGCTGCGGAGAGGAGGATGCAAACATGGGGCGTCTCACTTATTTGCTGGGTCTTATGGGTGAACAAGTGATACCTTGTGGTGGACCATCTCTTGGTCTCGCAGCAAAGCTATCAAACAACTACCTTTCTGGCATAATTGCAATAGCCTGCTCCGAAGCGTTTGATATGGGCATGCGTAGTGGGTTGGACCCTCGTACGCTGGCCAAGGTGTATGCTGCAGGTACAGCTCAAAACACTATATGCGACAAATTCTGTCCTGTTCCCCATGTCTACCCAGAAGCGCCATCTTCGGGAGGGTGGAAGCAAGGCTTCAAGGTACAGCTGATGCACAAAGACTTTGGACTTGCGGTGGACATGGCAAAGAGAGTGGGTTCTCAGAATGTACTTGGTGAGGTTGGACTAAAAACGTATGATGGAGCTGCCAACGACCCACGTTGTAGAGATTTGGATTCTCGTGTAGTCTATCGCTATCTCGGCGGGCAGGAAGACTGGCAAGCTAAGTCGAACGGGACATGAGCGGCAAGTTGTTTGTAAGAAAGCCCCATAGTGTGTATGACATATGATGTTCAATAGAAGAACAAAGTTAGGGTGCATGGCTCTTCTGTGGCTGGTCATGATTTTCCACAGTACGGGGTTGGGGAAGTTGGGGAAGTTGGGGAAGCATGGGTGGGGTAATAGCCCGAGTCCGCTGTCAATTGAACTCTCTGAAAAACTTTCGCAATCCTGCTGACCTATTTCTCATTGCACCGTTGTAACTCTCCAGAGAAAAAAACACCTCTTGCTTTCAAAAGTCATTACAGAAACGGGCAGGTCGTGCAACACCTACCTGACTGAGCCATCACCACCGTCCCTACCGTGCATCGACCATGTCGACCGACCCCAAGTACGATGAGCTACACAAGCAGCTATTTGAAGAAGGTCTCAAGGTGAGACGAAGCGTCGTGGGTGACGAGTACGTCAACCGTGCGTTGGAAAATGGCTCGACGGAGTTTTCGAGAGCCGGACAGGAGCTCGTCACTGAAATGTGCTGGGGCTACGCGTGGACACGTCCCGGTCTCGACAAGAAGCAGAGGAGTTTGATCAACATCGGCATGCTCATGGCGCTCAATCGTGCGCCTGAGCTGGCTGTCCACGTCCGAGGAGCCCGGAACAACGGACTCTCTGAGCTCGAAATCCGCGAGGCCATTATCCACGCGACGACATACTGTGGCGTGCCAGCTGGTGTGGACGCAATGAAGACGGCCGAAAAGGTTCTGAATGAGATGGCCGAAAAGGGCGAGATGCCGCGAGAGTTGGGCAACAGAAGCGCCAGGGCCTGAGCGGCAGCTTTAAATTTATGGGGGTGATGTAGGATGGGTTGTCTTCCACTGTATCTTACTGGGTGGTTAGTAGCGATACGACCCCACGTACGTATCCGAGCTGCAAACACTGCTTGCAACCAACATTCATCGTCATCGTCATCGTCATCATCACCACCAGCCAGACACTTTACTATCGCAATATGAGCCTCTTACCATACCCTCAATCTTCTGGTGCCGTGATAGGTGAACTCAATCGGGCGCCGCTGCGTGGCGAAATTGATTGGTGGCTTTGCCGGCTTCCTCTGCACCCCGCATGTCAGCTGGTTGATCTCCGCGCTCCGTCTCTTTTCCCCACACTGCTGCACTCCGTATCCGACCGTGTCATACATTCTCCCACAGTCTCCAAATGCCATACAGTGCCTTGAGGATACTCCAATACCTCGGTGCCATCAACTGAACCAATCGCGACTGATCCCGTGTGGACCGCCGAACTTCCCATAGGCTCTCCATGGAAGCTGCCCCTGGCGAAGCGCAAATGACCCAAGCCCAGCCTGGCAAAAAAGAGAAACGTTTTCAGTGCCCACACTGTCAGCGTGCCTTTGCTAGGCTCGAGCATTTGCAACGACATGAGCGCATTCGTAAGTCGCTTGATTCGGATCGTGTACTTTCGCTCACTTGCTTCGAGATAGCGGCGTGAAACCTTTTAGCTGCTCAGAATGCAGCTATTCATTCACGAGAAGGTATGAGATATTCTCTTTACACATTCGTATGGCTTATTCTGGATCAAAGTGATCTGCTTGTTCGCCATGAGCGCCTCACGCATCGCAAGGGCCAAGACAACCAGCAAAATCATGTGCAATCTCCGGCTGAGAGCGTCTACACACCTGCAGAGACGCGCCCCAACAAACGACTTCGGTCGAGCTTCGATGCTGGTCGTCCAGTTCCGGAGATACCCAGCATGATGCCCTCGCCAGCTGTTGTGGATGTGCAGTCCATGCACCAACCTTCGAGATCGCATGCATCCATGACGTTTGGCCTACATAGCGGATACTCTCTGACCGCGCTGTCAATGGCTGCAGAGTACCAGGCGCTCCATGGCAATATGGTGGACCGAGCTGCTCACGCAATGCCAACACCTCTGCCCTCGCAGCCTGAGACGATTGCTACGACAGTGGAAAACCAACACACAACTGTTCAGACTGAACATGCCAATAGCTTCTACGGATCTGCAATATCAAATTCGCTAGACAGTCTCGCCGTGTTCCTAGATAGTGAGCCGCTGGACTCGTACCACTTTTCGTCACTGATCAACACTGAACAACCCATACCATTCTTCTCACCCGACTCGCTTAGCTATGACCAACAAATGATGTCCGATCCTAGCAGAACAACTGCGCCGGTGACTGGTTGGCGACAGGTTCACTCTGATGAGCCTCCTTCGCTCTCGCGCTTTGGGTCACGATTTCCATCCCTGCAACCAGAGGAGCCTGTAATACCAGAGCCGCCCACACGCAGCAGGCCAATTTCCGAAATATCACATGGAGATCGGCAAAGAATTCTCGAGATGCTTACCGAGTTCTCCTCTGTCATACCTACCGACTTTGTCCTCCCAACTCGGTTAGCCTTGTGCAGGTATATTGCAGCTTATATCAACGGCTTCCACGAACACATGCCGTTGCTCCATATACCAACCATGTCTGTGGATACTTGTTCGGTTGAGCTGCTGTTGGCACTAGCTGCAGTTGGAACGCAGTATACATTTGAAGGCGAAAAGGGGGTACAGTTGTTCAACATCAGTAAATCGATTGCGACAGAGCGAATCAGGAGGCGCGATGCACGCCTAGTGAAGCTCCAGTACCATTCGCCGTCAAACTGTACATCGCCAAATAATTACGAGAATGAGTCGTGCTCGCGAAGTCCCCAGCGAAAGGGTTCTACCACTGGGCCACTCGGCCTACCATCCGATGACATGACTGTTCCAGGGGAGGATCTCATGCAAACGGCCCAGGCCCTCTTCCTGCTGATGGCTTTATCTACTTGGGCTAAGCACAAAGAGATTCTAAGAGAAGCGCTCGCCATCCAGAGTATCTTGGCAACACTCATCCGAGATGACGGGCTCGAGATTGAACCACTCCGCAGTAACATATCTTGGGCAGACTGGATCCGCCGAGAAACTGTCAAGCGAACAAAGTTTATAGTCTACGGCTTTTCTAATCTCCACTGCATCGTCTATAACATTCCACCATTTATGCTAACAAGCGAAGTCAAGCTTACGTTGCCCTGCAACGAAGCCGAGTTCAGAGCATCCACTGAAGCCTCGTGGCGAGAGGCTCGCAAGAAAGAAATCCCGGAAGTGCTATTTCAAGACGCCTTGAAGCGACTGTTCACAAAGCAAGGCCGAGACGTCACAGAATTCAACTCATCCTCAGGCAACTACGCCCTCATTCACGCCTTGATCCAACACATCTTTTTCCTCCGCCAAGTAGCCCGCTGCCGCTTCGAAGGCTCCGGAGACCTCAGCACAGAAGATGTAACGTCCCTTGAAAACGCCCTACGAAACTGGCAAATCGGCTGGCGCAAAAACCCCGAATCCTCTCTCGACCCCATGAATCACAACGGGCCGGTGGCATTTAACTCGACTGCCCTCCTCCGCCTCGCCTACATCCGCCTCTACGTCGACACCGCAGGTCGCGCTCTCGAAACACGAGATCCCGTGCTAATCGCCAACGCGTTCCGCGCAGGACCCGCGATACGTCGATCCCCGAAAATCATAAGAGCAGTCTTACATTCCGCCCAAGCCTTATCTATCCCTATCAAGATTGGCTACCGCCTCGTTGCCAAAACGCAATCTTTCATCTGGAGCATCCAGCACTCGCTATGTACGCTTGAATGCGCATATCTAATGAGTAAATGGCTCGAAGCTCTTGCAACGCCCAATCCAGATCCACTATTAACAGAAGATGAGAAAAGAATCGTGGCTATTGTGAAGAGTATGCTTGATGAAACGGAGTTTGCGCTTCAACCAGATGTCCCAGCTGACTCTCCGCATTATATGCGCCAGCTTAGTGCAGGGGTGCTGAGGGTGTGGGCGATGATATTTAGGGGGTCCGAGACATGGGCCATTGTGGATGTGATTGGCAATGCATTGAATCTTTACGCTGATATGTTGGAGTCCGGGTGAGGCTAATGGGCTGCTGGCTTGGAGCATACAGTGGATAGAAGATAAGGGGGGTTTAGATGGTGGGAATATCATGGCGAATGAACGCATCAAGAGTCATGGCTATGTATATGAAAATCGAGAAAAGAGAGGGTCTGGATACCAAGTACATATGTCTCTTGGAGACTAAAAAATATTGTAATTGTAGCCGCTGAATCTACCTTCGGAGCAGGGGCTGCCCTGCTCTCACTTGACTTCACCTTAACTCCTTTACAATACACTGCACCTATTGAAAAGATGTTTTATATTTTTTTCTTCTCCTCTTTACTTCTCTTTAACTCAAGTGCTTGACTCAGCGCCGCGGGAGGGGGTATACCATAGATGCTATTCATTTTTCTTACACCACATCAGAAGCTCAGCTACACGACAAATACTCCACTGCTCTCTGCTCTCCTTCTTCCCAAAAACTCACGCCTTTGGCTTGCTCAGATCCTCGAGTTTCTCAATCTGGCGCTTGAGCATGACTAGAGCACCCAAACTGATCTTGCGCAGACCATCACGCTCCCCCTCTTCGTTCGCGTCAGTACTGCGCTCGACAATGTCCTTAGCGGCAGCGATTGCTTTGTCAAGTAGCTTCGGTGCGTCTTCTTCTTGACTTAGGTACAAATACTCTAGCTCCTGCTTGAAAGGCTCAACGTCGTGAGTGAGTGCATGATGTATGAAAGCCCTTGCGCGAAAGTAGGCTCGCTCCGTGTACAAGGCGCTGCTGAGCTTGGTCTCTGGTGCCGAACGATGTACGTCGTATCCCGCTTCATTGTAGTACGGCTCCTTTACCAGCACCAGACCCATGAGCGAAACCAGGACTTGAAGCAGCGTGCTCTTTGCAGGACTCCAGCTCTCGTTTCGCTCATCTGTGTGCCATGTTCCTAGTAAACTCAAACAAATCTTTCCATCTTCGTACAGATTGGGATTGACTGCGCCGTTGCCGTTGGTCCAGCTGTGGAAATAGGCATCAGGTGCTTGTTGTGGGTACGATGAACCGAGGTGAAAATCGATGACGAACGGAGCAAATTCATAAGGCGTGTCGATGGGGCCAATCATGAGCACGCGCAGAAGATCGAGGCGGGACTCCCAGGTGCGGACGTAGATACCAGGCGGTAATGAGCTGCGAAGGATCTTATGCTCTTTTGCAATACGGCGCATGAAAGCGGACGACGATGTCGAGGACATGCCAACATAGCGATGTGACGATGGTGGGGGCGTATCTAGGATGACAAAGGATGCCGGTCCTGCATCGGATGACTCGGTGTTTCCGTGCTCCATGTGCGTGTCGTCGACCTCTGGCTCTGGCTGTGAATCAGGTTTCTCTTCTTTTGTCGGAGGTGACTTGATCTCAGGGGTAGTCTTGGTGGTATCGACATCTTCCTTTGTGGTGTCAATTAGATCTGGCATTGACTCGTCATCGTTATCGTCGTCATCAGGGTCGTCATCTTCCTCTTCGGTTGACCAGTCGCTCTCATCTCCGACGGGTGGCTCGCCCTCCATGCCTTCATACTCAATCCACATTTCATTAAAAGAGGCAGAATCGAAGTCATCGGAATCAAAATCTTCGTCCGAGTCTTCAATAGAGTCGCCGTCCAGTTCCCCAAGGTTGTTGACAAAATCATCGGCCATATCACTGCTGTAGGCAAGGTGGACGCACTCATAGGGGACCTTGACATCAACTACAGGCTTCGCGGCACCAAGACGAACAGTCAGCTTACCGTCCAAGCCTAGATCAATGACCTCGCCAAACCAATTGGGGCCGGTAATGTTGGTCGTAGACTGTATAGCTTCAACGTTGTCTGGATTTAGAATGACG